ATCCCAAGCCTCTCAATGGAGTCGTGAATGTTCTGCCATTGTTTCTCCGCCTGTAAAGTGGGTAACCATCTTCCTGGAGAAGGGTCTCTGATTGATATGCTTTGGGATACCGTTTTGAGCAAGCTGAACCGCCGTTGTTTGTCTTTGCCATACAGGGAGCATTGGGTGCTATCTCTCCGCAAGGACCGTGAACCATACAACTTGATATAACCGAGTGAAGCTCCCCATTAGGGTCTGTTTCTGGATCAGGGATTTCCGCCGAAATGATATTGTCAATGTTCTCAGTGGTGGTAAATCGATCATCAGGATGTAGGAAAAGCAACAGGTGCATATGTGGTAAACCGCGCTTCTGATACTCAATTGTCCAAACACATCCCAAATAGCGACCAAAAATGTGTTTATGTTTGAGCTCTTGAAGAAGCTGTTGTTGTTTTAAATGAAAGACGCGTGCAATCAGATCCGGCCTATCCACTGAACTTTGGCCAGGAAGAAGCTCATCGGTAATCTCTTTCCATTTGGGGTTTGCTGTGAATGTGATAAAGAGACTGGCTCGGCCAAAGTGACGAACAATAGCCATGGAGTCTTGAAAGAGTTGTTGCATATACCGATCCCCACCACTGTAACTGCTTGGTAGAATAATCCGCTTGCCAGACTAGTTGACACTAAAATCATCTTGTAACATTACATCAGCCAGACCGTTGTAAAGATCAGATCGAAGTTGTCTTTGGTTGAGGCGAATCCAGTTCAGTCTGTTCTGATCACATGCAGCCCATGCATCAACCAAGTATTGTTGAAATAAACGTTGGGCTTGAAAGATTGTACTGGGCTCATCGTGACGTGCATGTAAACGGTATCTGATTTGACTGTTAGTATATAAATAATTTCAGATATTATACTTAAACTTACCGGTAAAATGCTCTCTGACTTAACCGAAGATTCTTTCTAACCTGCATATCGTTTCTCGATTGTAAACTCCAATGCCATCCCAAGTCTCCATTCGGAAATAGTAAAACATAATGCAATGGCATATAAGCTGCGTGATTTGGAGTGATAATGCTGAAAGCTGTGTTTGGGTCTGGATTTCTGTTTGCCAACACAATGTCACGAAAGCCAGCTTGATCGTATTCATCAGGAATGATGATGGTAATTTCGTTGCTGGTTAATAGATTGTTACGTCTTTTGTCCGCACCACTCTCCATTATCAACTGCAGTTGTGGGTTAAGAAGAACTCTTGCATTGCCTTCTACAGCTGGTAGAGAATCCAATCGTTCTTTCGCGGTTTTGTAGATAGTGATAAATGGGTTAACGATATTTAATTCCGCAGTGAGGCGTTGGAGGACCTCAAGGTTGAGTCTTGGGTGTGCCGAATGACGGAGCTCGGATGCATAAATGGGATCGTAGAAATAGAGTTGAGCGAAACAGGGTGTTGCGTTCAATGCAGGTTGCAAAAGACCCTGCATGTGAAATAGTTCCCCATGAATCTGGAAACAGGTAATTCCACCACTTTGTGCTGCTGGACGGTTATCGGCGGTATATTTGACGGAGGTAAATGTAAGTGCACCATTGTATTCCCTTATATTGGCCCGAAATTGTCTTGCTATGGTGTCCAAAGATTCCAGAAGGTATTGAAGGTAAGGTGGTACTCTTTTGATAGGTGGTAAAACAACATTGTCTTTCTTGCAGCAGGTCTGAAACTTTGGGACAGCTGCAGTGCCACCGACACGTTCCCCCATCCAGTACAGGGCATGGCACGATGAACAAACAATATTCATGTTCCCAAGTCCAATTGATTCCAGTGCAAACGGGAGGATAGAAAAGCGAGAGGAGCAATAGAACCGACACGTGGGATAACAGCGTGCTAATAATCATTTCAGTATTTGAAGGAGTGTTTAGCAATTTAAAGTAAATACCTCAATGTCATGATTGACCTGAATTCGCCTGGACTCTGCTCTGACCCTTTGTTGTTCGCGCTGACGTTGCTGAAATATTGTTTAGTACCAAAAATCAACTTAAATTATGTCAACAAAACTTACCAAGCATGATTGACAGGTCTTGCGTGGTGCACCATGTCTGTCTAGATCATAATCGAGAACAGATTTGTCCCTTTTGCATTGGACACATTTAAGAGTGGACATTTTTTCGAATTTTGATTGGAGGTATTTTGGAGAGATTATGTTGTTGGAAAAGTGAGCTAGGGAAGTATTTGGTTGCTATGTGGAAGGAGAGCGATGGAAGTGGTAAGTACCCGGCAAGTCAAGTGTGGGAACTACCCGGCCAAAAAGTGGTTGGCAACCGGTCACAATTTGATGTGTGGTGCTGACTAATTGCACCCCTGCACCCAACAGCCAATCAGACCGTTCCAATAATAGAAAAAATAGAGACAGTACATTATAGATTTCTCCTCTTCTTGGCCGTCAGATGCCTCTTCTTTGTCGTCAGAAATGGCGTCAGGTTCGGCGTCAGGTGCATCTCCACCCCCGCTTGATCCACCTTTAGCTTTACCCCCTCCTCCTCCTCCTCCTCCTCCTTCTTCTTTCTCTGACAACAGCATACCTTTATCGAAGAGTAGCTTCAACAGGCGGGTCTTGTCCTTCTGGAAAAGCATTTCGCAGATTTTCCGATCGTTGCAAGAATGGAAAAGTCCCTTCTTTGCACCCATCAAAATGCACTCGGGCCAATGAGCCCCCACACCTGCCAGAATGGTGGCGATGACTTCAAATAAGACTAGGACAATGGTGTTAAAATAGTCCCAGGAAGTTTCAATTGTGGATTTGGGGATGTACATGGCGATGGTTAGACACACGCATAGTTTAAGAAGCCCCAATAATGTCCCAGAGGTTCCAAGGGCATAATAAGAATATTTCTGGAAATAATCGGGATCGTTTGCCAGGTGGTGCAGCCACGAGTGCTCCGCTAGTCTCACGACGACAAGTGCTCCGCTCACAAAACCGACTGCGACTGGCTTTGTAACCCCGGAAGGGTATGTTTCAGTAAAGGAGTAGATAAATTATAATATGTGTAATAATGCGATTACTCCCAAGGTAATCTTAAACCTGAGTGAGATGAAATATAGCATAAGGCCCTGAAGTCTCCACTGATCCATTTCCATCACCCATATTTTCAAATCGTTCGCACACCGGAGATAATCCTGAGAATGAGTTAGGAGTTCTGTCCTAATTATAGATTAGTAAAGTTCGTATATCTGTCACCCTCAAGGACTTACCTCATCCCAGGCCTATGTCCTTTCCGATAGCGGATAAAACTCCTGCGGAGGTGCTTTAAGTGCCAACTGATCAAGTGATGCTTGGATGGCATGTCGCTATCATTGTAAGAACTCGAACTGACCGAGTGAGGATTTATGACCGAGTGATAATATGTGAGTGCATGTTCGTATACTAATCTTATCATAGATGGTGCCTACAATTGCAAGCATTTTTCTTTTCTTTCTTGATCAGAAGGGGCTAGATACATGTAGATGCTCCCGGGCTACATGCACAGCCACTCAGCAAACGTTTTCGTGATTTACATGTAGTTTTAATGTTAGTGCGCAGTGTGGCGCATCATGAAGTTATTATATTAGATTCAAAACAACAAAAATTATATAATATAATTCGTAACTATATACAAAAGAGGTTAAATAGGTCATGGACCTTATTCTTCATTGATTCCGGGCGCCATTGGTTACTGGGAGTGGCTTAGTTCTCTTGGGGGGTTCTTGACGGTCCGCCACGGTTATATATATGGAGCAATGTCTCACTCCGAAATCGTAAATTCGTAATCATAAACAATTTTGCAGAGTGTCTGTATGATCCCTAGATCTACTAGGCGTAAAGCCAGATGAATTTGGCCGACGCCCAACTCAACTACACATGATCGAACACGAAAAGTTGTGCGGGTAGTAGGCAAAACAGTAGTGTCTCCTAGTTGATCGATTGATCATATTGAAGCCTTTTCGTCACCCTACATGGGACAAGTCGATCTCCACCTTGTCAGAGCTCGCTAGTAGATAGTATTTATGTTATATATTTGATCGTGAGTTGATTTAGCAGCTGGGCAATATCTTTTTTTTTCGGTTATTGTCATGTAGGGTTAGGGTTCCCTGGTCTCGCAGAAATGCAGCTAGAAAGATCCCTCGAGTTGAGATTGCATGTGCAAATAGTGAACGAAGGTCTCTTATGTATTGTACTCATGCGTGCTAGTGATACAGTATTAATGCTTACATAGGTCTAGGGAGCGTTAGTTCGGGCGCTATAATTAGCTAGACGTAAATACGTACATGTAAATACTAAAATAGGCCTTCCGTCACAACTTGTAATACGATTAACGATCCCGCGGCACAAAAGAGAAAAACTGATAAAAGTTGTCGCGACTTTTCGCTTCCCAAGACATCAATTACATCTAACTCTTATATTAAATTATAAAGTCACCAATTCCACCCTACAAATCGCAATCAACATCCTCCTAGCCCGCCCAATTAATCACCACCATCACTCAACATCAATAGAAGCCGATTAATATGGCGCATATAACCAGGCGAATTCCAGAGAATACAGCCACTGAGGTCGAAGTGACTGCAACGCCTAGCTTGTTTTCCCTGGATTTTGTGTAGGAGCCCCCCACTCTTACTCACAATTGTTGAAACATCTTATACTGCCATTCTCTCCCGAGCTCCCCTCATGTACCGGAGCGTATTAATACACCTGGTTTCCAAATGTCGAGCTCTAATATTGAATTCTTTGAATTGGCAATGGTGGGGTCCACCATGCTGTGGGTCCTCCGCGCTACAAGACCGTCCAGAATTCCAGCCCGAAATAAGGAATCCGGGTGGGAAAAATACGCTCCATCGTGCATGTTGTCGTGACTGTGCTGATAGTTTCCTTTGCTTTCGCATTTAAAGCAAGCACCTCTTTAGGGCCTACAACAATCCCCCATACACGCACCGTGATCTATACAACACATACTGCGAAATCTCGTCCCTCAAAGGTGCCACAGTGTCAACAATGGTTGTTCTGGGAGATACCTCTGCTGCCCTCATTAATGCCTTTAAACTTGGCCATTCCTTCGACATGGCGGACCTCGTTTGTGTCCAACCTTATCTAAAGTCCGAGTTTGAAGTGGACGAACATTATAGCCCGGCCGGCAACCCCATTCCGGTCGTGCCCGCTGAGCATCGCATGCCGCTGTTGAACCGTATGCTCAGGTCGCTCCAAGAGTTAGAAAAGGTCTACAGAAGGTTGGATGATGAGACCCTCACTTACTGGAGGCTGCGTGGTTATGGTTCCTGGCAGATTGCGTATGATACGGTGAGGGGGGAAGAGGTTGAAAAATGGATAAGGTCTTGGCAACGGAATAATGGTCGGGGAAACAAGTTGCGGAGAAAGATAGTGAAGATATGGGATTATCTTAAGCATGAGGGGATACCGGATCTTCGCAAACAGGAACCTTACGAGTGGGAACAGGCGGGTATACCAATCGGTACGGAAGGGGTGCAACTATACTGGCTAGATAAGGAGGAGAACGCGGAGGAAGGTTTCGCGGGAGGTGGGTATACAGTGCTTCCTGAAAATGAAAGGGATGTGGGCGAGGTGAACACCGTTAGGAAAAGATGTGTCCCCCGTGGGGAGCGTTCGGTGGTGGAGTAGGGGGTGGGAGCGGCGTTCAATGGTATTGAGATGTTAATTACGATACAATTTACCCATGGATATATTTTAGAAAATATTCTTATAAGCTGTAAAGTTGCTCATGGCGAAAAAAATAGGAACGAACAGTTTATTGATAGTATATCTCCCGGCGGGGTCAAGTCATCAAGCTGCTGCTTCACGATTAGGAATCACAATACTCCCTCTGCTCTACTGGGAAGAGGATCGTGGAGGACAAGTTCTTTTCCAGCCTTCAGAGGTTTTATAGATCGAGTGCGGTGTTAACAGAAAAGGGGACAAGGCCAAAATCTATGATCATCATGAAGAACCGCCGAAAGGCTAACCAGACCATCCATCATCCTCAAACCTATCATATCCAACTACAGTGGAGTCCCGATAGTAGCATTCTCGATAATAGCATATCCTCGATTGTAGCATATAGTTGGGCAATCCCAAACGAGTCGGTACGGGCAAATTTGTTCTCGATACAAGCATATTCTCGATAGTAGCACACGAAAATTCATTCCCAACCATATGCTACTATCGAGACTCCACTGTATTAGTATCCAGTTTCCTGATCGAAAAATCCGCCATATGTTATTGTGGTAAGTCTGTGTATAAGAGGCACCGCTCTGTCACCGGTGCCTGTGAATCATGAAGTGTGGCTTGCTCTCTTTCTGAACGTCATTCGTCGATTGGCGCAACAGGAATGCCAAAATAACGCTCACAAGCTGGTACTTTGTTGAAGCTCTTTCAAGAAGGTGAATTAGTTGGCTGAAGTATTAGTGTGACAAAGAATAGGAAATACTGAAATGATCAAAGTCTTCTAGGATCGCCGGTTCAATGTTATTTGTAGACATGAAGAGTATGAGGGTGGGAGTATATATATAATAGAGGATTTGGTAACTGGATCGACAACAACACATCCGCTTACATATTCTGAACACTTTGAGATACCCGAAGGCTTATTTGATGTAATAATGATTCCAGATGGACTCGTGGATTTTGAGGGTAGGATCGCACACAGATAGAGCTTGAAAGGTACATGTAGCTATGTGGATATCGGTCAGACTTGAGTATCCATGCTGTGGATTGTAGAGAGATGTTCCGAGCGACCGACAAATACCTCGAATTCGCGAATAGACTGCTTACTCCATACCTCTGTGACAGGACCGGTCGATTGACGAATGCACTGCTTAAGTTGTAGTGAAATATGGTTTTCAGAACTATTCTCCAACGGTTTGGACGCAGCAACTTGAGGTTTCAGGGCTCTAATGGAGAATGATTATAGGAAGAATGCTGATCGAATCCTTAAGGACATCGCTGGCTGTTTCTATGCATTACAGAGGTACCAATTGCTGATTAGAGCTTGCTTTTTGCCCTCCTTGAGGTCTTTGAGGTCGCTGGGGGTTGCGGAGATCCCCTGAGGCTGCGGGGTTTATTGGACATTGATCTAAATCAATTATTAGTTGTTTGCGATCAATATTTATTCTACTAAGACTACGTTTCCCCCAGTCTATTCGCGAATAGACTGGTCCAGCCACAGATGTATGAGGATAGTAGTCCATTCGCGAATACCTCAAGTCCATTCGCGAATTCGAGGTATTCGCCGGTGGCCCGGAACACATACACCTTAGTTAATGTGCTTATTAGATAATATGGGAAGAAAGGAAAATGGACGAGTATCTCGGTAGAGCGAAAGAATATATAGTTGATTTTTGCTCTTCTATCCCTGCATCATGCAGTGGACTGTTTTCATAATATTGTGAACTCTTCAGTTTTTCGCCTTGGCAACCTCCCTCCTGTAGGCACAGCCTGTGGAATCCTGAGGGCTGAATATTTGGCCTTAGGTATTTATTAGAGTAGAAAGTGATATGCCAAGAGCTACAGAAGAAGGCGGGATTAAAACTGCACGAGTTGAGTCGACAAAAAGTCCCTACTACCTATCGGAGAAAGATGATATAGCTAGCTTCACTGGCCCACGATCATGGTGGAGAAGTAAGATTATTTATCCCCAGCTGGTGCATGATGGAGGCGATTAAAAATGAATTCGTGGCACCTGGATGGTGTTTCATTATACCAAGATCTGGCCCGCTAGAGTCTACTGTAGAGTCTACGAATGGAGACAACCAAACTGATCGAACGTAACGATGAACCAAACCAACGATGATAGTATTATGAGAGAGGTGATGACCAAGAGACAAAGAGAGATCTAAACTAGAGTAGTCGTGCCCTATTGACATTACGTGTCCATGCTCGCCTCATCCGCCTGGTTGCCACCCACGCGCTTAGTCGCTTATCTAGTGTTGTCTTTTCTGCTTAGTGATGCGCCATGCGCCACAACGCTTAGGAATGTTTCCACACTACATTTGCTACCAGTCCGGCAGCAGGTATATACCGTCAGGGTAGGTTGCCGCTGCGACAAAGAATTTATGTAGAGATGCCATTTAGAAGTCTGAAAATTTCTGAGTTTCGTGTAGGGGTAATTTTAAATGTCACCTCAAGGGGTGAGATCTTTTGCCCAACATTGAGTGGGTTTGTTTCGGTTTCTAAATATGCCTACAGCTCTGATTGTAAAAGGTGTAATGTTTCTTCGATCAAAAATGTGCGCAGATGTGTTATGTGGTTCGAATTCATAGATTTGTGGGTTTGCAGTGGGCTCTGCGCTTGTGAGTAGATAAAGTCTGTGTTTTAGCGAGAGGCTCCTTTGCAGGGATATTTGGGATGAGTTTACTTGTCCTTATTTCTCGGAGCAACTTGTTGGAAAATCGGTACCCTCCCCCACCCAACCGGAGGCTTTGCCATGATTTCGCTTCATTCGTCAAACGCGGATCATATTCGTGATGGAAGGCACAAGGAGCTTCAAAACCTGATGGCTCACTGCTGTTGCCTTCCGGCTGAAAGAAAAATCTCACGGCATGTTGCTTGACCCAACTAGATTTTAACTCTCCGACGAAAGATCTTTAATTGGTGAAACAGTAGTCACCTACATCTTCACAAACGTACGAAGATGCTCCGGAGCAGCTATATATGTGCGTGGTCATTGACTATAAAACCACTACATGTATCCCGCTGAGAAACCGACTTTCAAACTGTTTGAAAAAAATATTCTTCATACCCTTGAGCTCTCGATTCCAGGGCAACGTCGCGCCAGCTGGCTGATACTTCATCTCACCATCATCCTTTCCTCTAGGTCTACCTTACAACCTCTTCCCGGATCATAAAACGTCAAGTTCTGTGTATCGAGTCGGGATCATCTAGAAAGAAGCTTTCATACAAGCTTAAGATTAACGATCTCCCCAGACATGTCCAACCCCCACACCGGCACCTCCGACGTCTGGGCACAGCTCGTAGCCAACATCGCTCCCCTCCTGGTTCTCGTCGGCGAAAAGCACGTCAAGGCCTACTTCAAGACCATGCACAAGACATCTCATCATCTCCTGTTTGCCGCCTCCCCCATCGGTCTGGTCACAGCGGTAACTACGCTCATCCGGCTGGGCGAGTCCCCGTTGTTGAAACGACTGATCGGCAGACAATTTGAGCCGTGGGCACAGGTACTAATGGATGTCACATCCGTCTCCTGTGGAGAGGTAGGATTAGAGTGGGTCAGGGAAGGCGGGCGGTTGGTATCCCTTGTTAGGGATGCCGGTAAACTGCCACCTAGGCCATTCGAGGTTTCATGCTATGGCGGTCCGCGTAAAAGGGCCCGGCGCGGTATGGGTTTCCAGGGAGAAGGCTTTGGGCCTTCAGGGGGGGCGGGGGGCGGGTCTCGCTCGGTGTGCTCGGTGTGCTGCGCCAGCCGATGGAGGTGTTGGTTGAACAAGCTGAAGACACACTGAGGCCTGGCGCTATCTTCGAGCGCATATTAATAGCCATCTACAGTGTATCCTGCCGGGCGCATCGCCTCCCATGTTGCAGACTAGGGCTCGTCGATAATAGACTAGGCTTCAACCCCAACCTGTCTGAGCCAAACAATTGTGTAGTTCTCGACGGGAAAATCTTAAAGGAAATAGTTTGGTACCCGGATTTGGATCGCGCTCCCCTACTGTGGGTCGCTGCTAAGATAATTTATGTAATCATGTTGAAAATGGAGGAAGGCGTGATGCTAGAAACGGGGACGCTGTGGTTTATGAACCCGCCCAGGACAAAACAGTCGGATGAAATTAGGCGCTTTTTACGTTCCATGCAGGGCTTGGGGCTAGTGGTGAAATGCAACGATTCCGCGGGTTCCGGTGGACAACATCACTCACCTGGACCGCCCGAACCCGAATCCCCCTCCACCAGAACCCCCCCCCCCCCCCCCTAAACTAGAACTCCCGGGGCCACTTGAACATTTGGTGACTGGTCAAGATGAGTTATAGGAGTTAGTTATCAGGTTGTTATTGAAACTGTCTATGGGAGGGGGGTGTCCGAGTGAGTGGTGGAATCTTCTATATAGTTGATATATTGTGTTTCTTGTTCGGGTTAGTTGATGGGTTTCAAGCATATCTCTATGTCTTGAAGAGGGAATGGATGGCAATATTTTATGCAGGAGACTCTTGCGAGTCATGAGGTTGTGGTGTGCCCACTTGTGTATTTTTCTGAGACCTCATCACACTAAGAATCGTACGGGTGAGAAAACTCTTTTCAGCAAACCTTAAAGTTTCGGTTTGGGGGTCCGTTCGGAACACAATTCCTGGAAATACAATAATAAAAGCTTGGTGAGTTGTCCATAATCCGTAGGATCTCCGTTATTTATCTGGCGTTATTCCAACCTGTGCGCGGAACTATACTTAAAACAACTGCGGCAGCTCGACATGCCGTTTGCCATCAACCGAGTGATACTTCATGACGCGGATTGTCTTTACAATGGGCGGTTTTGCGCCGATAGGATAATGGAACATGTGATATTGGGTGTGAGGTGTATGGGCCAACGTCTAATGCTGGCCTGAAATTATGCATTGTAAGCCAGAAAACCAAGTGGGAAGCAAGCAGGGAATCGACGCGCTATTTTTAGACCGAGTGATATTCCATGACGCTATATGTCAACCATTGATTGATTAATTGTGCCATATGTCAACCATGCAAATACGGTGGAACTCCATATCTCGTAATGAGAATAGTACCTCGCCTCCTAGGAAACCTTGGAATAAAAACTGCGGTGGCTCAATCACGAAATTTCTCGCTCGCCCACTCGAGCTGTAGCCGGTTGGGGTATTCCACATCCTGCTGAACGAAGCGACTAGTAGGCATAAGGGTGAAACCCTGTACTTGTACTGTAGATTGTGATGCGCCGCCATAGACTACGGTCTGCATGCGAGTATGAATGAAACAAAAAAAAAAGAAAAAAGAAAAAAAAAAACACTCGAGCTGTAGCTATAGGTCACAGCACTTGCCTATGGACTCATTGACCTGGTCTCGCCCATGGTTATTTGTCTACCTCTATCCGTCTGCAAATATGCGCGTAGGAAGAGAAAGGAGCTGTAAGTGACCATAGGTGTGTATATGTCTGTAGCTATAAGAACGGGCACATGCATACCGATTCTCTAACCCGCCTCCGGATCCACTGACCCAAAACTTCTGCTGTTCTTAAGTGTTTGAGGCTTCTCTATTTATGACCTTTATCTAGCTTTACTGCGAAGCGTTTCATTTGGAATGAATGTTTCATCCTTGTGCGAGGCTTTTTTCTTTTTTCGGCCTTATGGCCTGGGAGGAAATATTGCCGGTTGGTTTTGTTTTCTGAGATACTTCTAAAGAGTGAAGACGAAGAGCGAAGAATGTATATATCTTTATAACTGATGAAGAAAAGCAAAGGAGAGAGAGCGAAAACTCTCTCTTTATAGTTACAAACCTAGAGGCCAAACTACCTCTAGTGTAATAGTACACATAGCATAGAACCACGTCTAGCTTTTACAATGAAACGTTTAACAATATAATTGTTAACAACAAACAACATAACAACATGGCAACGATTGACCATAATCAACAGGTTTGGCTGCTCCTTTCTTGTCAGTGAAAATCTTTTGTCTGGCCTGCCTGAACTATCATTTTAAATCTTTTGTAGGATCTAGCCTTAATGGTGTTGTAAACGTTGTTAATTCATATAGGGAAAATATCGCTTCCTTATCTGAGGAGCGCGATAGAGAAGGGCGTTTAAATGTGTCAACAACAACATAAGAAGGTTGGCCTGAGTAAGATTGAAGCAAGAACAAGTGTTCAAGTCTCATATAGAAATTAGGTGGCCTTTTGTATACCTTTGGGCCTTTTTCGAACTCTACTAGCCAGACGTTTCGTGTTGTTTTGGGACTGCTGCTCGGTAAACATGGTATCTTTCAGCGTAGCTCTTAGTCGCGAATTCTAATCATGAGAGATCACTCGGCATTGGTTGATATATCTTTTTCTAGGATTTTGGTGTAGTCCCTCTTTCGCTAGGCGAGGGTTTGGACGTTGGTTTCACTGTCTGGCAATACTATGCTCAGGTGTTGTACGGATCGCATTTCGGTGTTTATGATATATTCTGTATCTCCTCGTATGTGTGAGGAGTCTGGTCTGCACGTAATTAAATCCCGAGTAGTCGCGATGTATTTTGTGCAGAGTAACTACATGTACAAAGCTAGCAACTTAACAGGTTCGGTAGCTCCGTATATACATGTACCTCCTATACACTAGTGCCACCATATCCGCCACATTGCGGTACGTTATATACCTTCGAGTGCTACATGTACTCTACATAATACGCAGCGTCTACTAGGCCGTGAAGCATCTGCTCATAACTCTTATGGTGCTTGGAAAATCTGCAGACCTCATATTCCCTACCAGATCAATCACACTCTACAAATAAGCAGACGGATAAACGGCATCCCTGCGCGGATCACGAGATGACGAGGTGAACAAGCACCTATATAGGGGCTGAATCGATATGGCGGACGTAACGGCCAATCAGAGGCGCTCGTGTTGCTTTTAGCTCTTTGCTCGTTACACGGCAGATCGCGCTCCCCGGTCGGTCGGTGCGGGAATCGCGGGCGCCGTCGCTTGCGCAATTGCAGCACACGTGCATGTGCCCGTGCCCGTGCAAAAGCCAATTTCAACGTTAGTGGAAGATGCGTGTCTTGGTGGAAATAGGAAACTTGACAGAGAAGAGAAGGAGGCGGTAAGAGGACGTAGATGCAAAATATAATATAATACGAAAGCCCATCCCTAAGTTAATACGGGGTCGTTTCACTCCCAGAAAATGGTGTACGATATGAATACGGAACTATCTGGCCGGTCGGCAGTGACCTGCGCAGGTTGGGTATGCTGCGCGTCCTGACAGGTTGCTGCGCCGGTGGGGGCGGGGTAATCAACTGCAATATGCGTTGCCTTTCACCGGGTACTGTTGAGGGTAAGTTATCAGAATCTGATAAGTGAATGCTGCGGTGAATACGTGTATTTGTCTTATCAGATTCTGATCACTTTTCGCTACACCCTAGTACGTGTCAATGATAGGGCTAGGGCTTCAGATGTCAGCTGAATATCAGGGGATTGGATGCCTTTTCATATACCAGAGATCACATTCGCGGTGGCCTCAACGTCTATTGATCAGTATCTCTCTTTATATACATGCATCGCTCATGATATCGACATCTCTGCAAATTGGCGAACAGCACTGACTGCCTCCACGCGCGCTACGTGTAGCTATATGCTAATCTCATCGCTGATGACGCTACCTATACCACATTGGGTGGCTGGTTGGCGGGACCGGCAGTGTTATCAAGTATACGATCCCGACACCTCCGCCGACCTCGCTTACATTCTATCGTGGCCCAAATGGCGAGTGGAGCCTCTTCTGTGCTGTAATTGTGCTTGTGAGCGTGCTGGCGAGCGTGCTGGCGAGTGTCTTGATGCCCATTGATTGAGTGCGAGCTGGCTACGTTGACCTGCCTCTGCATCTCTCTAATCAATGTATCCGGGATCGAATGCATTCCACAGCCAGAATTCAATCGTGGGGGAATGCATCAAATGATGCATCAACTGATCTCAGCTCGAGTATGTGGAAATGCATCGATAATGCGCCCAATTTTTCCGTTTCTGAGGTCTTTTTGAATTTATCATATTACTATACTATTTGTTTATTTCGTTTCATGCTGCAGGCGATAGGAGGATTCAAGACGAGGACTGATTCTTGTTGATCTATTGTATATAATGAGGGAAGAACCCTCTTTTTATAGTGTAAACAAAAGACTGTTTAACACGTATTTACTGCTTGAAAAGGCAGTCATAAAAGAACACACATAGCTGGCGTGGCAAGAATACGTTCAGTATGAATAACAAACTGTAGCATAATAATATATTGCCGAGAACAACACTGTTCACTACACACTTTATCGTGTGCCAGTGCTTGTAATACTCGATTCTGCACCCGATTTCTTGTCCTTGTGTGTAGTCTCTACCTTATCTGTTAGCCTCTGAATCCTAATATCGATCTAATTTTACTTTAGTTTTGATTTTATTGGTGTGTACATATCTGGTGTTGAAGTTATTTGCTTTTGATGCTTTTTTCCGTTTCCTTTTATGTAATAGTCGACGCGTTTCCCGATGCATTGATTCATGCTTTCAAAACTTAAGTACTGATTTCCTGAACATGAATGTGCATTGATTCATGCATCAAAAACATATTACATGGGATTTCCTGATGCGTTGCTTATGCAGAATTCAGCTCTACGTGGGTTTAGAGCAATTTCAATGCAGATCACGGCTTATCAGGAAAAATATATGTAGTGATCATTTATAACCCATATAAGAAATCATGTATTTCTCGATGCATTTAAAAGGTCCACGAGCCAGAGCCTCAAAGTGGATCACAACCCCTACCAAGTTGACTACCATCACTGCTAGAGCCACAGCATGGATGCTTTGGCGTTGACAAGCACAAGTGATTAGAAGCAAAGGGTTGCTCGTGCACGCCGGCTTTTGTTGCATGGCTATAATATAACCTTTCAGCTGTGCCGGTCTCCGAGCTTCGAATGTAATTGTGTGAATGTGCTTATCTGCATGCTGTCTGCCTTGTTCGCTCTTATCGATCGTAATTCTGTCATTGGTTCTGTATGACGACATTGGTTCGCAATACTATCTCCCCTTGACCTACATGTATATCAGCTGTGTTCGTCGCGGATACTATATGGGTAGGCAATGGAGCGTATATAGAATGCGGAAAACAATGAATATAACGGGGTGAACAGGACCTCAGGGTACACAGCGGGGCAAGCTGTAACAGAACATATTCCTTAGATTGTCAGTCCAAATCAAAATCTTGGTGACCGAACCAGATATGGTGGTAGCTGGACCCAAATAAACGCAGTTCCTGTTTATTCTGTCATCGGGTTTCATCTCAGACGCTAGAAAGCTCTATGTACCTGTTCTACTAGAGATAGGGAGAGAATGAACAGTAATTGCGTTCAACAGAGCTCGAGCACACCCAGCCATATCTGGTTCGGTCAAGATTTCGATTTGAACTGACCGCCTAAGGGATACGGCGATAGAAAATTAAATGTAAGGCAAACCGCAAGCTGGCAATGCAGTGTATATATAGCACCGCGCATACAGTGCGGTGGTAGGTGTATGAGGCACAACTAGACAGACCAGAGTATATTGAATGCGCATCATAGCAGATTCGTCAGGGTCCGGCGTGACATAGTAGATCCGGTAATGCGGCCCTTCCGGTTATAACGGCAACGTAGCATATATCGCAACGCAGCAAAAAGGGTGATATGACATATATATGCTGTAACATCGGATATGATATCTTAGGTATGGAAACCTAAGATATGATTTATTCCACAGCTGGTGCACAAGTGAGGTTATTGAATGAGCATGATGGTGCATATCGTGAATGAGCTGGCACGTGCACGTAGATGTCAAAGCGCCTTTCGGCCTAGTAGTATATTTTCCTTGTTCGTGTCGATGGTCTAATACCCGAACTTGGTGTCCAAAGTACGGAGCGGATGGCTTGATTCCTTGCTTATATTAATTTGTATCCAACGAGAAATACACGCCCATATATATCCTGCTACGGTCACACACAAAAACCGGTTTCCTAGGTCCACGATGTCATTACTCGTCATATTGCGTTTGTGAATGTCATCTCGACGCCTCTCCGATATGTGGCCGTAGTAGGGCTGACTTCCATTATCCAACTAATCTTAGTGGGATCAGCAGGATCGACAATCCACCATGATATATATTATATCAGTTGAGCGCTGTCCACCACATAGTGCACCATTGATATTTTACAAACTACATGTGCCAAAAACCCTAACGTGTCCTAGGCACTAGCGGGTAAAATACCGAGTGATATCTAATGGTTCGCTCGACCACCATCAATACATGTCAACAGCAGGCTGGGGGCAAGGAGAGCGATACGGTATTGCGAGTTTCCAAAATTAACCGGACGTTATGCCACAACCATCCAAACCAAATAGGCCACAACAACTAAATTTTACCTACGATTAAGCCCATATTAAAACCTGAGATAATGCAAGCTAGTATATATAGAGTGTCGTAGATATAAAACCTCTTGATTTTTCCAGTTATGGTTATGTTGCAAGGCGATGTTCCTTTCCCATACAAAATGTAGTGTCCGGTTAACATCGAAAACTCGCAATAGCTATGGTCACCGAGCGGGGGAGCCGCTTATGAGGGGTTTAATATATCGAGGCATACATGTAATGACAGCTACCGGCCGGCCATGCGACAGGAACTGACTGCCAGGTTGGATCGTGACACCAAGAGGGTCAAAATGTAACCCGGAGCCGCAGGTCACACAATAGAGAACAAATTGGCTTCTGCTGTGATATTACAGAGAACATGCATGATGGCATCTAAGTATTGTCGTAAGAACCATCCAATTCCCTCTGCAAAGCTCAGCTGAAGCTGCAGAGACAGGACAATAGAGGGTGCGCTAACATGCAAGCGCACTTCCAGCCCTGTGGTAATAACTACAGGAATCAGTCAGCCGTTTAAATTTAGCTGTCGGGGTTGTAAGAATTATTGGAAAGGATACGTCAAGTTGAAAGCAGAGATGCAAAAGTATGGGAAAACAGGATGGGTTTCAGCCCAGCAGTAAGTAGGTTTGGTACCCAATAAGATCATATGAATTTAACATAATATAAAGCTATTTCGAGTTCTGGAACTATAACTCATCGTACCCATAGAACAAATAAACCAATAGATAATAAAGCTCATGAAACGCTCTGAAGGTATGGGCAACAACAATAGAGGAGAGGCTAGGGATGACAGATGAGATCCCCTATGAAACACCCGAGCCTTGGGATAGATATACCGACATTGCCAACTAGTAATATCCCTCACTCGCAAACTACCCACGTGCTAGCAAAATGAACTGCAATTGGCGAGTGTTATGATCGGGGATGGGCACTTGGGCATCAACAACATCACTCCCACACCTGGCCCCGTGCTGCAAACAGATATCTCCGGGTTGCAGCTCAAGGCACTCCTCACGGTAAATACGTTGGGCCTAAAGGAGAGAAAATGTAATTAGTAATTACTCATGTTTCAACTGAAAACAAAGACTAACTGTTGCAAGATGGCCCATCTGTGACAATCGGGTTCAAGGTTATGGAAAGTGATGGCCGGCCTAGTACCGGCGCAAATGTTTCCACAGGCTCCAAGGTCTAACTGGTTTGAGGCAATCCCTTGGAGAATAGTGTAGTTGCCACTCTGGCTATTGCACCCGTATCCGGGGTTGAATCTGAGTGCCCAAGAAGGGTTAGGACTAACTAGGCCCAAGGCACCATGAGCAATGTTTACGCTCTTGGCCTCAATAGTAGGGGTGACGAAGTGCGTAGGGTGCGCCTCGCTTTTAACAGTGTATACGGCTTCAGGAAGAGATCCATGATTACACTACTTGTGTAATTAGTATGGTTACTGTGTGTTGGGGAAAGAAGTGGGCGGTCTTGGGAAGATTAGAATTCCTTACGTTAGTCATGTCGAGCTGGTTTTTAATTTTCAAAGAATTGATATGTTCAGGTGGTGGAGGTTGAAGGCTTGACGAGGGAAGGATACAATGTCCCTATTTATACATTTTATTCTCCACAAAACTTCATTCGGGATAGCCGTACATATCGTCTAAAGAATTCGGTTAAAAGAGGCCTGCGAGGAGAGACCAAGGAGTTTGTTCGAGGTGCCCCACCCTTGTACATACTGTGCTTTTGCCTACCATCGACGTATTGATGATATGCTCCCAATGTGCCTCTAGATGTCCCCGTGGGGCCAAGCTATTATTTCATTAGCTTGCCATATTCAAGTAATAATTAGGTCATGACTTAAAGATTATGATGCACTGCTATATATGTCTCATATGATCTGAGATCTCTCATTACTGCAAGTTGCTCTGGATTATAGCAGGCCTAATCACCATCCGGCCTTGCCCGGATGTTCGGATATGGTGTGACGAACCATGGTAGCGCAGGAGTACTTCGATTCTCAGCGGAATGTTGCGACGTCAAGATTGACTTTATACCTTCAGGAATATGAGGGGAGATTAGGGCGCGTCTTCAATAGAATTAATCAGACACCGAAGGTCGATTGTCTTATGTTCCTGTATACCGTGAGCTAAGGCGAATGAACCCCGTACTCTTTAGGTTACGAGGTATTTGTGAATATTGATAAAACGTTCTGGAGCGTACGAGGAGTTCAGAATGGATTTTGGTCCTACGTGAATCACAGACGGGAAGCTGGGGCTGAGTTTGTTAAAGGTCGCATGATCATATTGATGGTAATGAAATGAGGGAAGAAAGAAAGCAAGACATAATGGAGAGTCGTAGACAATTCCAGCTAGCGAGGACACCGTGACCATTGTGACCTGTCCTCCGTCACAAGCACCACATGTCCCCATATTTCCCACAACTATCCTAGTCACGTCAATCCACCTGCGCCACAACGTATCGTGGAATCAACTTCGCTATATTCAGAGTAGTTATAAGACAGCTAGCTACAAGCTGTTCAGCTAGGTGGACTTCCGGCGAGGGTGCCGGATCAGTTTTTATGTAGGCTATATATATGCACACCCTCTCGTCACAATATTGACATCACCTTCGTCTACAGCACTCGCTCATGGCGAAAGACACGTGTAAGCTCTTAAAGATTTAGTGGTCCCCGCGCGCATACAGAATGATACATGCCCAACCATAGACCATCTAGCATTAACAAAACCACCCTAATCCTGCCGAATTTAGTGATGGCGTGGGGTCACGTCGATAGAAACGATCCGGAGCCACAAAGCGCTGTTGGTTTACGAATAAGCTTCTCCGGGGCTTTGTAGAACGATATAAATGTCTGCAATCTCACCATATAACTGGGGATCTTGCACCAAACCGGTCGGCGGGGTTTGATATTAGCAGTCAACGATACATTATATATGAAGATAATTATGGGCAATGCTCTTTCTGCAAAGTTGGGCATAGACTTATGGCTTATTGCTCGCACATAAATATATATGTCATCAATATTGATGGAATTAAGATCCGTACTATTTGTGAATAACATCGGAATTGCCGTCGTGAACTGTCTCCAACGTATCATGCACTAGTGGTGTCGGGGAACACCACGAGAGGAGTAGAAAAGTTGATTATCCAGTTTCAATTACTGGTAAGAGCTTGTACGGATAGTGTAAAAGAACCCGATTCTGTCGCCGCCGGCCTTGCGGCATGGAGATACGATATATGTCAGTGAAACCTCTACGGGATCAATATTTGGGAGATTCGCGGTACACAAACAATATGTAGTAGATACATGTATCCAGCCTTCGGGGAGTACAATTCCCTAGTGAACTCACTAGTCTACGAATATTATAGCAATGTAAAAACTTCACCATCCATCACTCGCACCCGTGTCCTAACGGGTGTCTGCCACGCCAGTTTTCGCGCGAGCTACTTGGAGATTTTGGACGTTTTCCTAGCTACAATACCTGAATAGGCCGCATACAAACCTTAATTCGTTGCCATAATCTTTGAATTGGATGCGAGAAGGACGGATCTTGGTAACTGCCCTAATCATAAACCCTCACTCGATGTCTTTAGCGGTTCACAGTATATCACTCATTACTCGATCACACATTATCACTCACTTTTCATTGTTGCTTGTAAATGCGGAATTTGAAGTAAAGTAGTTTCATTATAAATAATACACAAGAAAGGAGCCCCATATGATTGTATAACCCTGGGATAAGTAATAGAGCCTCCTATTATGGTAAGTTGCCATGATAGGATTAATGATGGGCACGAGGCAAGACGAGACTAGATTTAGCATGGTCTTGTCTCGTTTAGTGATTAGTGATACCGGGTCTCGTCTTGCCCCGGCAGACAAGGATAGGTTTACTATAAATCGCACCCAAAACGGTGATGTGAAGTCCTGGGGCATGGAGGAATCCCGAGAATCCGTATCTCGAGTAATCTCCCATTGAACGTTGTCAATGAAGGACCCTATAGCTGCATCTCCCACGTCTGTATGTGCATCTATGAATATCTTCATCTATTTATCTTTTGGTAACGAAGCGCAGGGGCTCATGGTCTCGCTTACCCCCATGGGAACTCTCTCCCCCGTTGCCAGCTCCGCCGTCTCCAAAAGCAGATCTCAGAGGCCTCTCAACAGCGGTCTATCTCTTTGTGCATGGATATTCTCTGTATCCCGATTCATCACGACCTTAAATGATACCGCAAGGAGGCAATTGGCCTCCTTGGGAGAACATTCGTAGAGGCGGCACTAATCCTCTTCCTTGACCGGGAGCTAGAGGGAATACAATCTTTACGTGCCTCCATCCTTGAGCTCACTATCTGAATACTTTGTAGTGGATCGATGCAGCGACTTTGGACGTTTCAAGTGGCGGTGTGTACATGTGCTATTGAGGATCCTTCAGACTTAAACCGTCGGAAGCTATTTTTCCAAATGGCAGACGGAGCGCTGAGCCATGAAACCCTTACCTCCTTCACCAGCCACCGTGCGATTGGAAATAACCGTTTCCAGCTCCAGGGAAAGGAAGTGATCGACGCTCACCTGTACGAAAATGCTCTCCGAGTTACATCGCCGTGTAAGTTCTCTGAAAACACTTCGAACTTCTTCGTCTCACTTCACTATCATCTGTAGCGCAGTAGCCAGTCGCACCACCTCTAGGATGGAAGACGAACCCTTGATCCTCGCAATCATCATGGAACTGGACATCTCAACCATCATGCGTCAGCCCACAATCCCCCAGAAATGACAAGTGCTCTACATAATGATGGGAAAACTTTCCCCCGACGTCTTATTTGATCGACAGATCAAGAAGCTTCTGTACCCGCCCTTCCGCTGGGCTCCCGCCTCGCTCCTTGTTAACGCAATCGCACTTTCAACCGATCCAAGTCAGTGGGGTATCTGTACCCCCAACGGGCTAAACCTCATCTATCCTGGTCTTCTATTTCAAGGAGACGGCGTTGTGACGGGGTCGGGTGTACTCCGGGACGAGAAGACGGGTAGGAGCTACTAGATTTTCGACATTGTTGATTCTAGGTCGGGGGAGAGAATATTGCGGCCAGTACCGGGTAAGACAGCGATTATTTATGGAAATTGAGTCGGCGCGGTTATTGTGAATGTTGAGAGGGAGGATGTGGTTGAGGAGTGGGATGCGCCGGAGTTGACGGTTTCGTCCACGCACTCGCACTGGGAGACGGAGACCGAGGGGATCGATTGGCCATGGCGTGTTCTCTATGCGATGGTGGTGGGATACTCGGATGTGGCTCCGATAGTCTTCGAGCGCGATCCGCTTCCATCAGACATCTTGGTGACGGAGCGGTCGAATTGGCAAAGATGTGTTATTACATGATCAGTACTTAGGACTTTGGGCTCGATCCTAGAAACCAGATGCGGTGTATAAAATTGCATTTCCTCTACTCATGATATACAAGATTCATGACCACACACTGTAAAATGGACATTTACGGACCCTCTCCCCATCTATTTCGCGATTTAATCTCCTGAATATCACTTGCATGCGATAGATGACTGACCTTCAGTACTAGCGGCTGCTCAGGCGAGTCAATGCGCAAAATTGTGCTTGAGATTTGGGCAGATTCTGCCAGGATCCCATACAGATCTTATTTCTGAAATTCAATACTTCCAAGTGATTTCTCCGGTCGCTAGATCTAGATTGTCTTTTACTGATTGTCGTAGCTCATATCGTCAACTTACATGCTGTGTAGCCATTTAAAAATATTTACCTGCAGAAACGTGTCTTTTGCCAATAATACAATGAAACGATGCTAAAATCCTGCGCCATGCAACAGCAATGCACAAAGCAAGGCGGGGAAAAATATTTCGGATAAAGCAGTTTTAATACCCACCACGCATGGTGCGAGTGTAATTGACCCAAATTTTCTCAGTTTTCTACATACTGTTGATTGTGGATGCGGGAAGTGTGGAGTGTACCGGACTTGTTTACTCTTCATGAACATTATAAATACACTTTCAGATGGGTAACGAACTTGGCCCTTGAAATCTTGTGAGTTCGGGACCGATTTAGTGATATAATGCCGTTACGACTCACGAAGAATAGATGCTCTGACACCACCAAGCCAATCGATCATTGGCATTGGCGCCAAGACATGACAACATATCATTGACCTTGGCGGATCATACCAATGATACCATCCCTAACCCGCGCCAAGCCCACCAATACAACTCCGTCAGATGGCATAAACCAAAGTAAGGGCTCAAGTTACAGGAATATCCATATAGAACGATAATATACTCCCATTATAATATGTACTTTGATCCTGAGTCATCCTCCACCACAAATGGATGTATGGTACGCACGTACAGGAATATACCCGAAAACGATGAGACATCAAAGGCTTTAGCTTCGCAACCAAAAGAGTTAAAAGAATCGGTGTAGTAATAGTGGTGAGCTTGAGAGATTTTGATGTCTATCCTAGTTGTCAAGTGAAGTTACATATAAGAGTTTGAAGCTGGATGTTTTGTGTGTAGAAGGCGCCAAGCTAGCGCCGTATGGAATACAGGCTTGGCAGGTGGGTAAGGCCAGCTCAACGATGGGGAAGGCCGGAGAAATAGAGCAGAACCACCAAATCACAAGCAGGTGATAGCCAAGTTCTATCGTGGAAGGAAAGGGATAGGACGTATCATTGCCGAGAAAATACCAGCTCAATTGATCAATCGACTAATTAATATTGGCACGAGGAAGCGGAACAGCGAGTGAGTGGTTACAGCGCGATACGTAGCTGGAGATACGATTTTCCTCTTCGATCTTCCTCAAGCAGAATCCATCCATCCCTTACCATGTCACTGGACTTATCTCATCGCTCCCCAATAACCGGCCCAAACTCCCTTTATCTCAGCCGCAAACTGGAGTCATCTCTAGCTATCCTTTCGCGCGTAAGCAGTACTATGTACTTACACGGCGCAGCAGAAGGTGTGACAGAACGATAAATCGCACAGGCAGCATTACAGCCGTTTTCATAATATTAGGCCCAACCGAGCGTCGTAACACATAGAGCAATTCTTGCAAAGTTAAGCACGATTACTTCATTAGGAAACTCGAGATACCCAACACATTTAAGTATCTGAATTTAAACCTTCGGCCAGATTGCCTGATGAAGCTATAGTGTAGGAATTACCTAGAGAGGCAATCGACTGTGGATTCTCACTACATGTATGTGTTACGACGCTCGGTTGGGCCTAGTATTATGAAAACGGCTGTAATCCATGTTGTACGCTTACTCATACCCTGGGGGTGGGGTGGGTCGGCGCCGGTCCGGTGGGGGACCTAGGAGGGTGCTCTACGTTCACCAGCAATACCTAGCTAAATGTAGGTAGTCCACAAGGCTGGGAATGAATGAGCTCCTATGATTCCGGTTTCCGTAACGTTGCCCTAGAGCATTCCAAAATCCTCATTGCATGATCGTTCCCCAAGACCAGGCGTTCGGGCGAGGTTTACTACTCTGGCTGAGACCGACCCCTGCACTAATATAATCCTGGTTAAGCTTAAGACAACGGCCAGGTCGCGGCGTGCCAAGGGTGTGCCCCTCATGCACCTCAACCCCAGAGTCTCACGCATGTGGTGTAGCTCAGTAAGCATTCCGGGCCAAGATTACCTCACTCTCTGGATTGGCCAATGATCTACCGGTTGGGTTCTCCGTTCATGTAAGTTGTAACGCTCTGACTTTACCTACAGAGGCTCGTGGAGTCGGCGCTCTATAGATCTAGTTACTCTACTCTACTAGCTTTGTTGGTGCCATGTCACAAATGATACTGAGAGAATTACTGCAAGTCTGTGGCGTATATCCCTTCGTTCGTCAGAGCAAAAAACGGAGACATAGGTATTAGGCCCACGACGGCGTGGGAATGTTCGGAAAATCTAGCTACCTACGGACTGTGGAGACACCAGAAAAAGGTATAGGAGGGGCCACAGAAGGTGACTTTACAGCAAAAGGTTCACGGAATAAGGGCCGGGTTAGGTTTATTTCCGAGTAAAGGTTGCAATTGCCTACTACATATGTATCTAGCTCACAGTCGTGAAAACACACGAAGGGAAGGGATATTGCTGTCGATTCTCAAGTGCAGGCCGATCTGCTCGCCATGTGGCATGTGGTGCACTTTTAATTGTGCTTGGCCGCCGAGCTGAGACAGTCGAACCTTAAGTACGAGGTGGAGTATGATAGTGATACATAACACATGAGGGCTGATCGGGATACTGTAGAGTACATGTAACCATGAGTACGAGTGTCTACATGTGGTATATATACCTACTCTCGCAATGCCCCCCGCCCCCCCGACCAGTCTTGTTCTCCTCTCCACCGACAATATCATCAACCATGAGGTTCCTTACCAGTACCCTCACCGCAGTTTCTGTGGCCTTTGCGGCCGTTGCTGGAGCTTCTTCCGGAGACGACCCCTTCTCTCATGATTGCAAGCATACAAGTAGCAGCATACAAACAGAGCTGGGACCCCGCCTCTCCCCTAATGCAACCATTGACTTCAGGTGCGACAACAGCACGCTGTTCAAGGAGCTCACCCATCGCTACAGCACCGTAGATCCCGGGCTCGCCGCCTTTGTTAGTGTCGGTGCGGGGGAGGATGTCGGCGAGATTGTACAGACCACTACTCAAGCCCTGCACTTTCCAAGTACATATATCGATCTATATATACTAATTACTCATGAAACGCTCAAATAGATCAAGTATGCACTCGAAACCGACCGCCAGGTCCTCGCTGGGAACCGCCGTCATGGGTGGTCCAAGTCGCTTAACCGCGTCAAGGACGCAATCATGATCGACATCTCCACTCTTCTCGATATCGATATAGACACCGCCGGAAACACAGTGACTGTCGGCGGGGGTGTCAATATTGGCGAGATCATGGCCGCGCTCCAGGCTGTTGGAAAGGAGACTCGTGAGTAGTACCCATTGCTTATCTACAGGCATACATATGGCCATGTTACAAGATTCCTCCTGACAAGCTGCACAGCAACCGGTGGCTGCGACTGCGTCGGGCTCCTCGGTGCGACACTCGGCGGAGGTCACGGTCGTCTCCAGGGCCTTCACGGCCTCATGATCGACAACCTCCTCTCAGCACAGCTCACCATCGCTACCGGCGAGATCATCACCGTCTCAAACACCTCCAACCCAGAGCTCTTTTGGGGTCTGAGAGGGGCCGGCCAGAACTTTGGTATAATCACAGAGGCCACCTACCGGATATATGATGCGACCAACGGAGGCGTACAGTTTATGGCCAATATCATCTACGACACCACGCTACTTCCGGAGGTGTTTGAGGCGTTAAACAACTATGAAGTCCCAGCTGAGACTACTATCCTAGTTGCATTCTTTGTCGATCCGGTGACCATAGAGGTAGGTGTTTTCTTCCCATCTATCTAACCCGGCTTGGTGTACATGCAGCATCTCCATGATCTGAATACTGACGGTGTTAAGCCACAATTGTTTGTGAATTTCGTCTCTTCCATTCCTGAAGCCGCTGCCCGCGCTCAGTTTAAGTCGGTGTTTGGCCACATCCCGTACCTCTCCATGACCGACAAGGTACTGCCATGGGCCAGCGCCAACGGCGCGAGTATCAGCCAGCCCGCCTGTGAAAGCCGCGCCCGAAAGGAGCTAAGCGGTGTGTCGACAAAGGGGTGGCATCTCCCATCGATCCAGTTAGTGTACGAAAAGTTCGTAGAGTTCGTTTCGGATCCTGCATGGGCGGGCGCGGTGGTCGTCTTCGAGTCGTACCCTGTGAAGGGTGTTCAGGCTGTGCCGGCAGAGACCACGGCCTATCCGTGGCGTGACGAGACCGGTCTCGTGTATGTCTTGGCTCTCCCCCATCCCCTTTGGTATTAGCATTGCTGATCAGATGAATACACAGTCTCTTGAGTATCTCGTACAAGAACGCCACGCTGGATGGAGCGGCGGATGACTGGGTCAATGAGGTCATGGCGATTCTGCATGCCGACAGCGGCTTCGATAGGCCGGCAGTGTACATGAACTACGCAAAGGGCACGGAGGGCTTCGGCGCTGTTTACGGGTATGAGAAGTGGCGGCAGGCGAAGTTGAAGGATTTGAAGAGAAAGTGGGATCCAAGCTGCATGTTCAGCGGGTACAATCCGATACCGATCCACTGTGAGGCGTAATCAGGGTATCGCGTTCTTGGGGCGTGTTGATTATTTGAAGTGATTAGTTTTCTTGTGTGGTTTATAATTTAGCGTGATGATTTAGTATATTTGAAAATAATGGAACGTGAGCACTGAGGAAGTAGTGTCAATATGAGACGATCTATTAGACCCTAAGCTTTAGTAATATATCTTTACATCCCGTTTCACTGCCAGTGCCACCAGTTCCGTCATTAACCATGCACAGCTCTCGCTGTCACTCAGGAATCAGATGTTGTTTAGGTCGCGGTTGTATGAGACCGAAGAGAATCGAATCGTATAATTGAGTTGATTATCAAGTGCAGGAATAGAAGTAATATGCTCCTTTTATGCCGAATTACAAAGACGTGATAACCAACCACGTATCAAAACGACAAGCAAACCCGCTGTCATAACACAGTACTGGCATGTGTGGTGAGAGGTGGCGAGGGCTGCGAGGCAACACAAATAAAAGCTTCCACGGTAACATCTCCGCGCGCAGAAGAGACAGCTACATTATCTCAGCCAATAGCGACCACCTACCTATCCTCCCAGAACCGGATCGAGGCCAAACACCAAAAAGGTATTTCATTACGAAACGAGTGACAGCACATGACTCACCGCTGGGAATTTATATTATATCACCTTCCACAACGATTCTTATATATTCTTCTTCCATAACAGGGGAATACTCGTGACGGATGCGGATACTGGGAATACTGCCGGCCGGCGCGGCGGTTACAGCTGGAAATAGAACCTTCGCAAGTACAAACTAAATGCCATAACTACGAGGTGCACCAAACGCAGTTATAAAGCCAGCAGCTGCACCATATGACCGATGGATTATTTAGACTCTTAAGGATCGCTCTGGCGGTCCTTCCTTTGCAAAGGCTTACCGTAGCTAGCCAGACACAGCATATGTGGTATTTGCAGGGCGCGAGTGATCCCTGGTGAAGAAGGGACCCAGCACCGACCAGCGGGCTTTGTGCGATACGCCTTATACTTATATACCACATCGTCTATATCGAGTGTTTGAAAGGAATACTGCAAAAGGAAGGCCCCCTGTAAATGAGGTGAGGTCACTACATTCCTCACCCTGTCTTGAGGTATACGCAGTTAGCGCTCAAGTCGCGCGCTCCGCAACCGCTTTGGCCCATTTCAGGCGGTGATCAGGGGTGCATGCTTTATCTCGAATTAGAACGCTATCGACTTGGCTGTCTACAACTATATACCCCATGTCAGTTATTCGGGTAATTCGATTGTTGCAAATAACCGATAGGTTCATGCTGGAATGTTTCTTTCTGGCGAGAAACTAACTCGAAGGATGTGCCAGTAGCTTATGCTGGCTTGTTCGGTCTCTCTATGAGTTTTCTGTCCATTCCATAGTGCGAGTTGAAGTTGACGCCGCATCAGTGAATTCGTCAGATGTTTCGGAAATCTAAAACCCTAACACTGGCTGCCGCGGGTTGTAACCTAGAAGTAGAAGTTTTTTATACAGCAGAACGACTTCTGTCGGGGTATGGTACACCTTTGCTTTATTAGAAATCGCTTGTGAACACCGGTGCATCAGAACGGAGTACGTATGCGCGACAATGTTCTGTGAGGTTGATTGCCCAAATCACCTAGTAAAGTCAGTATTCAACTCTGTGCAGGCAGGTATTCGGGTAATGGTAAGATATCGTTTGTCTGCCGGCTGGAAAACCTGCAATTTAATTGCGAACATTATCGGTGTCTCGAGAGAAGTACTCGGATTAAACCTCCTCCAACTAGTCTCGAGACTAAACCGTCCCGCCTATCTCCCAGGCTCGTCTCATCTAGTGGTGCGCAGAAAAACAAAGTCTCGAGAATTTTGTTTCGTGCCCATCACTATCACAGTATTCAAACAGTGGGCATTTTGTATCCCGTGAATGTTCTGTCCTGTGCGTACGTTGAGCGGGGGTCAACATGCAGCATAAGAGGACGGGTGAGGACGGGACGGGACAGGGACACCGCCAGCGGCAGTGCCACTTGCCTGGCGCGCCTAGCGTTTCCGCAGAGCCTCAATATTTAGGCACCTCACCACTGATTCCACCGCACTATGTAGCTGCGTGTTATCCCGTGCTTTCAACCCGATCGCGTGTGAACCTTTTACTACATGTAATTCTTCTTTTCGGAAGTCGCAGTAACTACCACATGAGAGAGGACATTTTATACCTTGGATTCAATGTTTTGTAACTGATTATTCTTCAATGTTCCTCAATATCCCCTGTGGTACAAGCGAGCACACGGGTGTGGTGTGAGTCAAACAACCGGGTGGTGTAGTTACACTCTCATGTTGTGTAGTTAAACAATTTTTTCGCCGGGATATTTTTCATAGTGTAATTACACCACTGAGTTGTGTAAGTTGTGTAATTACACCACACAAAAACTCTTGCTCGTGGTGTAATTACACAACGTTGTGTAATCATACCACGTTTAGCGAATTGTGTAATTACACCATGATCTACCCCACTAACACTCTTTCTAGCTCTGCAGGCGCACTCGAGCTCGCGCTTATATAATTACAACATTTAAATTTATTATATAGATTTATCATGAATATTAATATTAATTATGACGCGGTAATATTTTGAAGCACTATTCAGCCATTCTTCCATTCATTCTTCCCTTTAGTTATACATGTATTTAATCAGTATTAGTACGGGTATCATTCACACACGTTTTTCTTGTCACATGCTGTACAGTCGTAGTTTTATTTAATTGATCTGCCCTCCACCAGTGCCCGAAGTACTACCGCCAGTAGTAGTATTGGCAGGCGCCTTCTCAGCGATCACCCACCAATCCATATTGCCCCAGTAGCACTGAACATTTTGCCACCAGAATGGTTCCAGGTCAGTAACGGTGCCGCGGACGTGGCTGTTGTTTTCCAGGTGCTTCAAGATGATGGAATTGTCCTTTTTCTTCACCCAGCCACTCAAGAACACACCTTTGCCGTGACGTATGCGCAACTGAGCTCCAATCTCTGGGACAGTTCGAGCAGACCAGTCCCTTACAATTCCATACGTTTCGTTGATACCGGGAGCGAGTCCGGGATGGAGGATTTGATCGATATCTGATGATAATTGTTTGTTACATAATTATAATGTTGATTCTAGATCTAATCATGATGGATATATATACAGTTAGCTGCCTTGCACGTACAGACAATTCGAACAGACCCACGATCGGCTAGTTCATTGGCAGCTTTGGAGGGATTCTTAACAGACTCATTGATGGATGGCATTTTTGATGATTGTGCTGCTGTAGTTGATGATAATTAATTCTTGTATATGGTGGTGGGGGTATGTGCGTGGGTGGTTGAGAGTTGTAGCTGAGAGGCTTTGTTGAGCACTTAGTCACATCTAAGTTTTGTGGGTTAGGGTTGATCACAGCCTCATGCAGGGTCAAGCTGTATGCGCCCTGCACCAGTTACAGTACCAAAAATCACCCGGATATTCGACCCTGAGCTAGTAGACTAGACGTCGTCGACAATGTCGAGAACGCGAAATATTCTAGAATAATATCTCGAACATCAACCTCCAACCCACCAATTGCAAAACCATATCATTTCCGTCAAAATCCGACATCATGAGACGAGAGTGTACATGCTCTGTGTATGGGGGGGCGATCCACACGGTCAGAACCCAGCGCGAATGAGAGCGGCATTCAGCCTTACTTCGACGAGATAATCAACCGGCAGCATTGAGATCTCGAGCTCGATGTCCTCATCAGCACCGAGGACAAGAAGACCCCCCTTCCCCACCTGGCCAAACTGCCTTCTCCTCCGCCTCTGGTTCCGACGTAGACGATGAGGACCATCCTTCTCCGCCTCGTCAAACTAGTCTTGACTCCTCCTCTGGCTCCGATGTAGACGACAAGGACCATCCTTCTCCGCCTGATCAAACCGCCTCCTCCGCCTCTGGTTCCGGTGTAGACGAAGAGGACCATCCTTCTCCGCCTGGTCAAACTAGTTTTGACTCCGCTTCTGGCTCCGACGCAGGACATACACGTGATAATTCAAGCCCCAAAGCGGATGATGAGGATGTTTCTTTATATATGTCACATTCGGAGCCACAGGAACCCCCAAACCCCTCTACAATATTTACCGACTTAAGAGACCTACCTCACTCCACTGTTTCCCCAGGAGCTCGAAACTCACCCTTCCAGAACCATTGGGACCCCGAAGAAGTCTATTAAGAGTTGGGTTCTGAAGCTGACGATGACATTGATTCATTAGAGTCATTCGGTGCGAGCGATACATCAGGGCCTATAGGTCAGATGAATCGTGGGATTGCCGATTATTCCGACGAACCTGCTGGTGATTTGGATGAGTTTAGCTCAGATTCCGATTCGGGGGAGGAACTAGGAACTCAAGAGGACATTGATTTGTCTGTCATCAGTGAGCACGATGAAGAGTTCTTTGATTTCCAGGATCTGATTAGTCGACTACTCACGAAGCAGGAGATGCTGTCCTTTTCGATACACGACATTGCTCTGAAACACAAGATAGCAAGAGAGGCAGCACTAGATACATTTGAGCTTTTCTCAGCAGTTCTACCACCGGAAGAGAAGCCTTTTGAGTACTGTACAGTGTGGGCCAGGATACAGAAAATGACAGGGATCAAAGAAGTGTTGTATGACTGTTGTCCATTAAGCCACATATCTTATGCCATGTATCCTGACCTAGATCGGTGTCTTACCTGCGAGCACCCTCGATGGAAGCCAAGCAAGAACCCCGACGATGATCCTTCAGCTGCACAAGCGCGCAAGCCCTACGCAACCCATGGGTATATCCCAATCAAATATAGACTGAAGCTTTTATACTCGAACCCAAGTATGGCTGCCTTGATGGTAACATATCGTTACGGCGCAGAGCAGCAACGCGCAAGAGGAGTTCGAACAGACTTTTGATGAACTGATTTATTCGAAGAGAAAAAGGAATTCTTTCCGAATGACAGCGATATTGCGTTCTTATTAAGCACAGATGGAGTGCGTGTCTTTAAGAGTAGAAGAAACTTCAGCATATGGCCAATCCTATTGGTGAGTAACAATGTTAACGTGTTCTGCCTCAAAGTTGAGTTTCTTCGTTGCTAAATACTCAAATGAGTTAGTTAAACTTAAACCTACCACCACTCGAGAGGTTCAAAAAATGACACATGTTAATGGTGGGTTTTATCCCAGGCCTGAACAATCCCAAGGACCTCGACTTTTTTCTGTTTCCTCTTATTGAAGAGTTGAAGGAGCTCGAAGCTGGGGTCACCAATATATGGAATAGCGCTCGGCAGACATGCTTTACTCTTAGAGCTCACGTCTGCATTGTCGGTGCTAACATGCCTGGTCGAGAAAAATTAATGAACTTCAAAGGTGTGCTTTAATTTTCTAGAATCCCGGCAAAACTACAACTCGAATTTTTCTATTTTAGCTAACACCCCCGGCCCATTACCCTATAATACATATAGGCAATAGAGGAACTAGCTACTGCCCTTATTGCTACATCCACGGAGTTCACAATAGAGATGTCTACTGTCCACTAAACCCTACAACCAACCCCCCATCGGGTATAAAGCCTGAAGTCACGTCTACTTGGCGCTCATGGGATCCTTCTGATTTACTGATGCGTAACGATGAACAGTGTCGCAGGATTGCAGACCACGTAATAGAAACTGGTGACGATCATGCAGCAAAAAAGTACTGAATAAAAGGCTCATGCTCTTTATCAGAGCTTTCGACGATCGATATTCCTCGGAGATTCCCACATATGCCATGCATCTATGGTGGGAGAATGTAATACCAGACCTGGTTCGACATTGGCGGGGAAAATTTACAACTTCTGTACAGGTGGAGACCATAGAGTCACTAATCGCGGACGATATCGATACCAACAACGGACCAGACAATCAACCCAGCCAGCGCTTACCTTCGAATTCGCGCAGATCCAAGACAACTCCCGCAAAAACAAACACGGATGGTAAAAAGTTCGTCAAAACAAATGACGAATATAATATTCCCTCAGATCAATGGCTACAGATAGGTAAGGACATGGCTAAAAGCAGCATCACATTCCCGTCTTCTTTTGGGGAGCCTATACGTGACTTCGCAGAACACTATCAACATCTCAAAACGACGGAATGGAGAAACTTTTACCTATTAATGGCCCCTATCTATATGAAAAACAGATTACCAGAAGAGGATTATACAGAGTTTGGGAACCTAATCGACGCTTTACATCTGGCCTGCAACTACACCATCACAGAAGCCGAGATACTTGTGCTTGAGGAGCGCTTGAAGAGGTTTGTCGTTTATTACAAACGTCGTTATTATTGGCGGTTGTGGGATAAGCTTTCCTCCTGTCTTCCTGTCATCCAGCAGGTTTTGCACATCGCACAAGCTGTCCGATGGGCTGGCCCAATGTATATGTATTCACAATGGCCAATGGAGCGGGCATGCGGCATCATTGTAGCGTCGGCAAAGTCCAGGGTTTCCGCGAACCGCAACATGGGTATCACAATTGTTCTTCAAGAGCAGCGAAACTACCTACCTTACTTGATTCCTGCTCATCCCGACGGCGATCTCAACGATGAAATAGAAGACGATGATGGGGCTGTACTTCTTCACCGACTGTTCGGTCGAAGATTAGCACACAAAAATATTCCTTCGAAATCATTGCTTACAATGAATAAATCTTCTGGAACTCTAGGTTCACCAAAAAAGCAAGGAGTTTTGGGTGTATGGGATCGACGTGCCCTCCAGAAACTTTTGTCAAATAGATTCAATAACGTTGTTCCGTTGGATTCAACGCCCAAGAATTGCGTTCATTGGGCTTCCTTCTCTTCTGGAGTTCGTGGTCTAGCCAAAAAAACGTTCACTATTGTCTCGACACATATGAGGAGAACTAATTCAACAAGGAGTTCTTCCAAGATTCGTTATGAGTTCGAGACAGACATAGGCATGAGATACAGCGGATATGGGGAGGTTATATTTTGCTCTTCTGTCGCCAATGAAGACATGAACCTGCTGCGTTAATACGAACCACGTGTACACATGGGCAACGATGAAAGGGAGCACGCTTCCCGCAACTTTGCCTATATCCAAACATTTAATGTAGAGCTTGAAGATAGGCTCTTGTTAAAAACAGGGCTTGGGAGAAAAGAAGTGATTCAGGTTGACCAAATCGTTGATCTTATTGGATTGATAATAAACGAGGGCCGAGAATATATCGTTTCGCGTTTCACTTGTTTATTTTAAGGTAATTCTTATATCTCTATGCCCCATTACTAACTCTATATAGCTTAGTACCTACCATATCCGGTTTAGCTTGTTTATGGCAACGCGCTACCTCACCGAATTTTCAACGTCACCCCCACTTTTTTCTACCTCATCGACCTTATCCCCATCAACACTTAACGCCCCACAATTAAACTTCCATCTCCGCCATTGCATCCTCGTTCACGCACCATCATCGCAAATGGACAACTTCATGGAGAACCCTGCATTTCAGCAGTTTATGCAGGAACAAGTCAAGTTGCTCACTGCTATATCGATGTCGAAGAATCAAGAGGCTCCGCCTGCCACCGATAGTACCGCTATCAGCGCAGGAACCACCAATAGAGGTAAGTGATATGAATAGATGGCTTTTCTTTTTCCTTCCCTAATAAATTAACATCCAGTTTCAAAAAAAAAAAATCCCAGTCAGTAACACCCCGGACGTTTCCCATAGCCAATCTCAGACTCTCTCCTCGCCACCATCCATGACCGGCAACAGATCCACGAAGCACAACCATGTGTCGCAGGACCCATCAAGTTCAAGAGATCGCAATGGACACATTGACATGTATTCAGGGGATGATCTCGACCAAGAAACCCCTCAATGTCCAAGACCAAAAAAGAAAAACGCGCAGGTCGAGCAGCAGCAGCCGCGGGATGAAAGCGATGAAACTGTCCAACTTCAGTCGTCCTCTACTGCGGGAGAAAAGAAGAAAGCGCCGTATAGTGACAGGAAGAATCTAGCTTCACGTATGAAGTTAACTGCCTCGGACAAGAATACTCTTAACTGGTTGGTGCGGGAGCGTCGGGAGTATTTGCAGATGATTTGCTTGCGACGCGGAATAGTTCTAGATAAGCCATTCTCTACGTATTCGGACACTGACATGTTTAGACTCGTTCGGAATGTTACGTCAGAGATGCAACGAAGGTATGGCCAGTGGTGGACTCAAGAACTAACCCGGGATTTATTACATGCCATTTGTCTTGATAAAGTGTGCAACGATAAGAAAGCGGAGCGACTTCGGTTAGAAAAAGAGGCTTTGCTTGCCGCTGCGAATGGAACGGGTGATACAGGTAATGTATCAACACCAGTTGCGAGTACATCAAAGTTTAAGTTAGTTGCCACCCATCGGGCCGCGAGGGCAGGAAAAGCCAAGGAGCCACCGGTGGAGGAACAAGAGGGTGAGGAGGAGGATGAGGAGGAGGAGAAAGAAGAAGAGGAGGAGAAAGAAGAAGAGGATGGAGATGAGGAGGAGGAGGAGGAGGAGGAGGAGGAGGAGGAGGAGGATGGTGATGATAATGATACCGCACCAATGCTCCCTTCCCATCTCAATGGAAACAGGGGTTATCCCTCCACCTCCATGCACCCCCGAGGTATTACTGAGTAGAGCAATCTCCACCTGCCCCAATTGCTCAGTATACTAACAAGTTTCCCATTCCTATACCACTGACAGACTCCAATAGTCCAGCTTCATCGGTGGTTTCACCCCTCGCATATAAAGGGCCTAATATGGCGGCCATACGATACAACTCCCAACTCGGGGACTGTCAGTTATATGCGAATTTGGAGCCTGTGGTTCACAGAAGCATGTTCCACAGCCAAATCCCTTATTCCCCCATCCAGTTAGTGCCAGAAATACAGATATCCCCACCGACTTACATCCCTATCCATATCGCTGGGCATCCTCCGGTGTATGTTGCAACAAATATGTCTTATAATGAGTTCGAACGACTTGTTGCCCCGCGCATTGTAATACCTGATGATAGGTTTCTACAATATCGTCCGAAAACTGGTGGGAAATGGTTGAGCGTAGGATACGAAGAGGCTTGGATAAAGCTTGTAGCGACATGTGGAGAGGCTGTAGCAGAGGCGAAAATGGTTGGGGAATCATATTTTAATGAGGACGCGCCAGACTCGGTACGTATTTCGATTTATTCATGGGGGAGATGCTGACATTAATTCATAGGATGGCGAGGGGGTCTGCGGTACGGGTTACATTGATCCAGTTCTCTTGGAGGAAAACAGGCCCAGTGTAAAGATTCCAGTCATCTATAGCAATGATTATTACTAAACTAACCTGGTGTGGCCCGTCTGGGTATAGGAAATTCCGCGTATACCGGTCGCCGTTGCACCCAAATCTAAAAAGGTGGCGAAGAAATCGGCGGTTGGTAAATCGTAGGCCAGAGTTTCCCAGTTACCGGAATCTCAGTTACCGGAATCTCAAACCCGGCATGATGAACAGCTGTCTTTGGCCCCAGCTCGTTCCAGGAGTAAGAAACCCCCTATCCAGGACAAAGGAATGGCCTCTAAAATCAATACACAATTCAGTGCGAACGTCGGTAGAAGTTTAAGTGGGAGGGAGATTAAAAGGAGTATGAAGGCCACACAAGCCCTGGATGAAAAGGCCGAGAAGCAAGCAACTAACCACTACACGGCTGCCAGAATAGACATAAAGCGAAGAAAAGGGAACTTCGCACCTTGAGTGAATGGGACTATTAATATCCACAGCACATATTAAGATTACAGCTATCCGGATGAAGCCCTCAGAGCTAGTGGGGCGACATTGGAAAATTTACAAATCGTAACACCCTATTCAAATGCGCGTGACTGCGAATATCAGAATCCGAGAGCTAACAAGCAATGTCTTCCATTAGGTTTATGCATTTTTCTTTTTCAAATTAGATCCATATCGATTTTACCGGCCGTATCATTAGGCGTTACAGGTTCGGAGGTTTGTATTTCTACATGGTTGGTTGGGTTGGGAGTATGGTTTTTGAGGTTTAGGCCGTGGTGGGGGAAAAGGAACATGAATAGTGGCAAATAGCAATAGATAAGCGCTACACTTATAATATTAATAAATATAATAATCAATCACGTATTATGTAAGCCCCGATCGCGGATGTAGACTTTTAAGCATCCGCGTGTAAAAAAAAGGGGGGTCAAGCTGGGTGCATTTACACAATGTGATGGGGTAAAGTGCACAACTGGGTGGTGTAACGACACAACTGGGTGGTATAAGGTACACAACTGGGTGGTGTAATGACACAACCGGATGGTGTAACTACACAACGTGTTAGTGTAACTACACCACCAGCAAAAAATACCACACCCGACGCCAGTTGTTTACCTACACCACACGATGGTGTAATTACACAACTAGACATGGTGTAACTACACAACGCATTTATGTACCACAGGGATCACGCTTGACGGCGATCTGACACTGAAATATAAAGTTGGGGTTCAGCAGTCTCGGCTGTAGCCTTCTGCCGGATCTATTGCCAATATGCAAAAAAGGATTGTGATATCCCGGTCACCTTCGAGGTCATTTGACCTGTAGCTTGATCAAAAAAAATAGTAGCTTAGAGACCGGGGCAGTGTGTATGTTAGGCACTGGATACAGCCCCAATCAACAATTTCTGCATATTTTAAACCCCATACAAGCTACCACCAAATTGAGAAAGATAAATCAAAATCTGGATATAAGCCCAAAAAGAAGAAAGAAGAGCAGGTATAATATGAACCCCGGAGTACCCAACCACATTGTGCTGATTCATATCGCTCAACGGAAGAAAGGTCTGGTCGATCTGGCACTGTGCCTTGTAGCTTCAAGTCATATATCTAACCGACACACCAACGCTGTCCCGCTGCAAGATGCTGTACGATTACTTCGCCCCTAGCAGCTGGTATTTCAGACATGGCCCTAAAGTCGACTAGGGCCAGATATCTACAATATATTACATCATTTTCCTGTCGAAGAATGGCCACAAGAACACTGAAATTAAGCCTTGGGGGTTTCTGAATAACCGCTAGTCGCTCAGTTTCGTGGACCAATTTGTCAAATGCGATGATCTTGTCTTGGTATGCCTTAAATTCCTGTGGTGGAGTATTGAGAGTGATAGTCGGAACTGGGCACAGTAGCTCACCCTCTGGCAGTGATTCGTGAGATCGCTTGATGTAGAAGTGAGTCCCAAGAATAGCAGGGAGTGTGACCTCTGTTATCCGGAAGCCGGGAAACATCATAAAAATTCCGTTAGCATCTCGAGTTCCGACATCCTGGTGGTACAATCCTAGGGAATTTAAGGTTCTGGCTTGCTTTAAGGACGACTTGGGAGCCCATCTATAGCCGTCGATCTCTAGATTTTCCTTATCAAGGAAGAGAAGATCCGTAGGGAGCTCGGAGATGTACGAGTAGAACAACGCCATTCTACGATTAGGGCATTTTGTCTGCGACAACTCCTTGAGATCGTAGCCAAACACTGATGCAAGACATATCGACTCGTCTTCCACCCTACTCCTTGATCGGTACCGGAGTGCACGAACAACTATTTTGAACATGGCTGCATTATCGCCCATCAGCGGCAGAGAATTATACAGCTTGCTGATCGCTTTCTGCGTATGACAGAGACTTAAGAAGCCCTGTTTCGCTCCCAACAAGTGAAAGGGAAGGGCTCCATTGGAGTATTGAATTTGCAGTTTCCCGTAGTAGTTGCCCTCCCCCGAAATTACTGCTTCCTGATATGTCCACAGTCTTCGCATCCACCCCGAGAATAGAAGACGGGTTCCTCTCTCCAGTCCACCGGCATTTTTGGGACATGTCTGCATGTCGGCATCAAGAACAAGCACCTGGCTAGCTTCTCTGAATGTCTTTGCCAGGCCCACAATCGTTGCCTTTCTATCTTCTCTGAGGTCTGGGTGCACGGGAATGCACGAGGTATCCATCCAGATCGGAGGTTGCTCCAGCCGGTAATCTTCCTTCGCACCGATGAGCACCAGCTCTTTGGTCACGGCCCTCAAGTGAAACAGCTGGCATCGCGGGAGAGAATTGGCCCTGGCATTCCCAAGGCCCTGTGCCCACGTGAGATATGGGAACATATGGCGAAGATTCGACCACCTCCAGCTTGATATCTTTGTTATGGGGACCATAGGGTACAATGTTGACGACTGGTGTACCCCCTCGGCGCAGGAGCATACCTCCGGGACATCGACGGGTATATGGGAGCAGCCGGAAGAACCTTGAGCCCGACAGGCTTCAGTGTGGCTTGTCTCGTACGTGGCCTCGCTTACAAAATTAGATTCACAGCTCTCCGGAGTGCATTGCTGGTGCGATTGCCGGTTGGGTATGCCGGAGAGCCAAAGCAGGCTCACAATGTATAAACCAGTGTGGTCCAGCATGTCATGGAGCATCATGACGGTATTAATGCACCATCCCGCACTCAGCATACGCTTCTCAAGTGGATTACTTTTGTGAAAGGATCCCGTTCGCCTCAGCACAGAATCTGTAGAGCTTTTTAAGGTGATTACTGCCGCGTTCAGGAGGGATTCGCCGAGTATCAGGATTGACATCGCGATGTCTCAAGATAAGACATCCGTTATCCGCCACCTAGTGGGGGAAACTGTGTCCATGTGCCTCCCACAGAAATTTTCGACCGCTTGAAACACCTTCTGCATTTCGAGCTCTTTGTGTGCTGCTATGGCTCGGTCTGCTCCCCGGTCGATCATATCACCAAATTGTTGGCGGAGGGGTGCTGTGTTGATAACGGGATCCATCCCTTGGTATCGGATAAAGAGGCTCAGGTCCACATCCCTCCCCGAAATTAGAAGTATCTCGTGGAGCATTCCGAAAAAGAGCCAGGTCTGTAAGAACTGGGCGACTCGTTCTGGGGAGCTTTCGCTGCCGTCCAGCCGCACGGGGCCCTTCTGAGCATCGAGAGCCTTTACGCGCGGGGAACCCGAGGAAGCCCTTTTTGTCGTAGTCTCTGGGTTTGCAAAGACATGGGATTTCGGGGTGGGGGTTTGACGGCCCTTCAAGTTCAGGGATGTGCCAGGAGCTGGGAAGTGCGAGGGCAGTGGAAGACATGGTTCCAATTGGATTGATGGTGGTTTGGATCTGGCTGTCAGAAAGGGGTTGAGAGACGGCCTGCTGTCTATAAGGTGGTCGGTTTTTGGAGTCAAAAAACGGGGTCCTAGCTATAGATTACCTGTGTTGATGTTAGCTTGCCGGCCCTTCACTTCTCTCTCTCTCTCCATGGTGTCACCTACAGTCCCCGAATTATGTTGGTAAATAGTGAAATAAGAGTTGCTAGGGCGGCTGGTATGAAGTTATGAACAATCTCGGAGCTCGATGAGTTGTTGATGTCGATGTGATTGTGCGCAGCATATATATACCCCGCCATACCCACCGCCGCGTGGAGAGGCTACCCCACCACTCACTCGCCAGAATAGTCTAACCCTAACCCTGACCAATTGTTTAATGAGATATTGTTTTATAATGGGAACGCATCGAACGGAAGCTTCTGTAAATGATGAGACTTTTGGGAAGGGGTGTTGATACATAATGTCAACGGTCTGGCCCATTTAGTTAATCATGACTCAACGAGGAACTAAAACAGTTGCAATACTGTGTAGTAAAGCCTAAAGATTTATAAGGGTGGTTGATCATGCATGTGCGATATCTTATTTCCCACGATAAGTACATACTTGTAGTAACTCCTTGGAATATGGATTAGGGGTATATCAGACAAGAAATTATGATTGTGTGATGGATCCCTCGGTAACGGGAGCAGACAAGCCACCTCTATGGCTGTGCATATGTTTCACACGTACGTACTTCCATAGACAAGGAATTGCTAGATCTCGGATCCGAAGGAAATTGACATCAAGAAGTATTATATGGTAGATTACCCATGAGTAAAGCATTTAAGTTCATAGTCACAACTCCTTCTCGATTTACCGAATAAATATATATTTCTGCCAGTGAAGCCGCAGTTCACTTGTACTGGTAGAACGGAGACTCAGCTTCTCTCAGTGTAATATTAGTATAAAAGAGATCCCAATTACCCTTTAGATTAGAATTGAAACATTTAAAACCATTAGTTCGACGTTTTGATCGATACCATTAAAACCACTGGTAGTAAGAATCGAGTGACCGACCATGACGACCACTGATATCTATCCTTTTTCCCGCGTTCTTTATGTTGGCAAAACAAACTATAAGGAGCTAAATATTTCCGGGAGCCGAATTATCTTCTGTGCCAGGAAGGGTGGGCGATAGACGCACCCTCAGTCAGTACACCTCCCAAATCGGTCTTACTTAAGCAGATTTAGAGTCAGGTCATCAGGAAATGCGCATAGTACCACCCTTAAGAGCAGTAAACGACAAGAACGGAATTGGAAGCCAAATACAGTAACCCGGACTTGAATTATTTCCTGCCTTTACTTCCCCTCGAGAAGCAGATAAACATTGAATTAGCCAAAGGACAAGACAGAATCCTTAGAGGACTGATGAATAAGCGAATTATCCGGTATATATTTCATGTTTCCGAAAAGTACTACACTTTCCCATATGGACCCCAACCTTAAACAGAGTGTTCTTATCTATACTTACCACCAGTTTTTTGGCCCTATTGACACACTCTCATGGCATGTATTCTCATCCCCTCCACTTCCTCCAGGTGTTTCCGTCGGCCTAAGTCCACGCAGGTAGTCGTATGCAGCCTTTCCAGGCCCGATTTCATACATGCCGGATAGACTACTAAACACTACTGAGTACCTCCCGAGGCGGCTTTCTGTTGTGCCCTCCTCCTTTGTGCTCCATCCGTCACTCTCCTCCTTCCATTGAAACTCTATACTCCCAACCCATTACGCCGCAATAAAGTCGTATGACTGTTCGGGACATATCATGGGCTTTACAACCAGAGCCCTCGGGTACCACTGGATCCACTCGCATAGAAGTACATGCTCGTTTATTCGTCCTTCGGAGAGAGCTTCTCGCAACCTCACTTCGATCAATGGGGGTACAGCCTTCCAAATAATTCTTGCCCGCTTTTGAAGGTAATCTATGGAGCACACATCCCACGTTCCATTAAGTGTCCACTCCTGCGTGCCTTCTCATGGTTCGAGAAAGAGGTGACCAGATGATCCCGGGTTACGAGTAGCGGGCATGTCGAACATATCCATTGGACATCACGAGAACGAGGGGTGCGCTATCGTTTCTTTACCGTGGAAGAGGTTATCAGAGCTTATATTCCGTGCGTGTTTGAGTACATTCCGATTAGAACTGCTGGCGTGAGGCATTGATCGGTATCTCTACTCCACGAAGAATCGACGCAATGATGCCTTTGTCGAGTGGCATTGAGACGTAACGCGGCCCCAGGATGAGCAAGATTTTATCCAGTTTTTTCACAAACTGTCGCAGCTGTCCTATGGCTGATGTTGCAAGAAGCCGGCATGACGAGCCACGAAACCCAGCAGAAGCCAGGATATCACCATCCAAGTCCTTGATTACGAGATCTGCGAACAGAACCTTGACTTTCCGACTCACCAGGAGCTCAAGGGCCATCCATCCTCTGGTCTACCACGAGGACAAGAGGATAGCGAAGCAGGCTCCTTTCTCTTTTCGTTGGTCGGATTCCACTCAATGGTACTTTTGAACATAAAGATCATGAAGGAGTGTGGTCTTTGCGCCCTGGTAGTAGAGCTGCATATTGTTTATTGCTGCACCAAACGCTTGCTTCCCTTTAGGAAGACAGATTGTGTCCTACCAGATTCCTATGCATCCTAGGCTCGCTGCGATGCTACAGCAACGGTCATAGAGACACCGATTGAACTCGTCTCTGCCGTTCCCAGTGCCATCTTCCCACACGTGAGAGATAGCCATGTAGGGCTGGTCAGGCTCTACAATCGATGTGCCGTCAAAAGTCCACGCCGTCGAGACTCCGTTAATTGCCGCCTCGCTGAGTAAATGGTCCAGGAATAGTGGGATTGGATCAGAGGTAAGATTGCAGGTAGGCCCTCTCTCTGTCCCGAGGGTACAGATATGTAGCTGTTTTACATTCGTAAGCTCATTACGGATTCCTGACAAAAGTCAACGGTACAATCTTCGTGCCCTATATGCGGGGAGACAAGTCTCCCCGCATCCTAGGGTATGACGGTGGGAAGGTTCAGATGTCCACGGGGCATGTTGCCCACGATGCCCCATGTACATCGTGGACACAGACATGTCGATTTTGCCCGGCTCATGGCCTCGAGGGTTCGGGCGTTGTTAAGATCCAGATACTCCATCAGGGGTGGAGTAATTCGCGGAGAGCGAAAGGTACCATGCAGTCGTGAAATCCACTCGATCAGCTCAAACACCTCCACCAGGCTCACCGACTCTAGCCACCTCTGGTTCTCCCCATATCGAGATTTCTTGTGAAGCAGGCCATTGAACAAGTAGTCGAGTTCGCCCACATTCATCCAGGTTGGGTGACGCGCCCCTCAAAACTGCAAAAACGAACACATGCATGCAGAAAGCACGACTATCCAGTCGCGTAACCCGGGCCATGTCAAGCAATCGGGCATAAATATACTAAGCGACGTGGAGAGGGCCTTGCAGCTTGTCTGAGTATAGACCCTGATTGAGCGCCAACGGCAGTAAACAGACACAGCTTCAAGAAGACCGAGAGAACTACTTTCTTTGAGCCACATATCCGTTGCAGGCGCGCCGATGCCTGTAATCGGGTTGGAACATGCCGTACTTGTCGAGTCTGGCGGGGATGGAAACAGCAACTCGTTATAAAACTCTTCCGGGGTGCAGCCCCTCTGAGACCATGGGAGCTTGAGGAGATGGGAACGGCTTGAAACTATGGTGTATAAAATATAAGTATATTGTGGCTTACGTGTGATGAATATATACCACGTAGAAGGCGGGGAGAGTAATATTTAAGGCGGAAATTTGCAGCTCTCGTTCGGGCATGATGAGTTAAGCACGCGAGCTCGGTGTAGGACTTTTCGAGAAAAATCGCTTCTTAACAGCTATCGACTGCAGTGGAGCTAGTTTAGCTGATCAAGTACATTTATGTAGTATGTTTCCGTGGATCTCCGGGGTAACGAACACTGTGGGTTGAGGGGACATTCATAGCACTAACTGGGGCGCAGGGTAACAATACTTTAGGGAGGTTTCGGCTTTTGTGTAGACCTGTCTGATCAGTGATTTGTTGGTGGAGGCATGCATCATGTATCCTTCCACGTAAGGCCAATATAAATCTACATACATACATCGAAAGTGGATACCGACTGAGATATCATGACCGAAGCTCACCTGCAGCCAAGCCTTCAGGCAATACATGGAGTAAACTAACAGATAGCTTCTCTTGAAATATTACGCTTAGCACATTTCATAGTATTGGAGGATTCTCATTTGTTATCATGAGTCATGGGTTCTGACTCATTCTTTCTCTAGTATTTATTAGTCATGTTTTTCTGTTACTTATACGGTTATGATTTACTATGTTTTGTGTTACCTTTCTTTAGTATAAATACAGAGCATTCCCTTCCTCTAGTTAGTTGAAATAACACGCTCAATTACTACACTTCTCTACATAGATTTTCTCTAGCTTCAATCACCTTCAGACACGTAATAATACCTATGCTGATAACAGGTATGACAAAGCCCTCTCAATGAGGCTCCTGTTTCATACCCCTCATCCCACGGCTGAGAAAAAGCAAATCCTAGTGGTATGTTCGAATTCTTCTGATAAGGTACAGCGAGGTTACCCATACGCTTCAACAGACATCACACCATCCAGATTTCAAGCTGGTGGGTTCGTTTCGGAGATTCTCGATGCTAGCATTTGGTGCAGTTCATTTAGAGAAGTGTCCGCTTGTGATAGTCAAAACATAGATAAATGATCCATGCCTCATAATATTTCCCAGTACATACCCCGCACATAGTCACTAATTGTTATCGAGACGTCGTTGTGTATACTGAAATATCGCGCCAAGCTGCATACGGTGGAGAATCTTGCGATGATGTTGAAGTCAATCACATGCTGGGTGATCGCACAGATACTGGTTTTTCCTCGCTACATATTGGATGGTGTCTTGTCATTGATTCCCAGACCATGGGTACAGAGCCTGGAAGTCTGAAAATGGCCAGAATTGGCAATGCTATTATCAATACTGATAAAGACGGTGTCCCTGATCAAGGTCTGAAAAACGGCCAAGAAACAGCCAAATAGGTATATACTCATCGACTGTGATACAGTTTGAGCTTTGGATTCTCATGTGATTTGCTTTAATAACTCTCTACGACTGACACTGATATTTTTCTAAAGCTCTCCCGAGCCTAGTATCAGCCCGACACCCGTCCCCATCTTCGACCTGCAATTAGACCGCCTGGGTGGATTATGTGATTTGAAGTGTGGGAGAATAGACGACTTGAGGAGGGTTTGAACACGTGACCTTTGTGAGGAATATGTTTATAGTGCAAAGAACATACTATTGCGCCGCTGAGCTCCAGCGACAACTATGGGAGTTTGTTGCTCCTTAGATACAGATAATTCTTAGTACCACTTGATCCCCTGATTACATAATCCTAGCGCTAAGCCTCCTTGTTCCAACTATGAGTCATCCCTTATACATGAGTAATTCCCATACATAACCGATGTCGCAATGCCATATTTTTACAGATTAGTCCTGAATATTGATGAACTTGTAACTCTATTTCGATTCTGACTCCTGTACTGCTCTAATTTCATGGACCTGGAAATGCCCAGGCTACGAATCCTTGAGTACCTGGTCTTTAAACTAGAGGAGGTCTGCTATGCTGCCATGTCTTGCCCTTGAAGAGACATTCAGCTACTTCCGCCGTACTCCAATCCTCTCAAGAGAGCTTTCACCGTCAAAGAAGCCGAACATGCAGAGTAGATCAGCTTTGATATACACCGGACAGCCTGTCTCGCATCAATCCATCTCGAGAGCATAGCGCTATGGCTCGACAGACAGTGCATTCTCCAGAGCAGAAAAGATGACAACAATTGGCAAATCCAACGCATGTTTAGGATGTATGCCAGGTGCGATCCCTGCCTGATCCTTCCCGGTGGTCTCGTCCAACTCATAGGCCTCTCCCAGCCAACATCATGGGCCGACAGAGTTTGGATGCTGCAGGAGGCCTGCGCACTAAAGAGGCTCAGATGCGTATTTTCCTTCCCACACGAAACTTATTACGAGTTCGCGCTGCAGCAGTGCATTTCTTCTGGCTTCGGTCCACAGTTTCTCGAGTTCCTAAATCAAACAGAGAACCCTATCCAGTATATCCTTGAGCTTCAGTGTTCCGCCGTCTGTGACCTTATGGCATTACTGAGTGTGACGAAGACCGGAACTGTAGGTTTCAACTACCATGAGGCTGTACTCTCACAGCAGTATGACAAATTCCCCGTCCACATAATCTATATGCCTGCCGCAACTATCTTGCACCGCCCATTGCAGGTCACAAAAACACCGCTGATGCTGTGGAGAGTGGCGTACACCCGTTCCTCCTTGTGACTGGTGGACATGGTACTCAGCTTTATGGATCTCCTCGGTGTCAACCTAGATGTTTTACGGTTCGGCCCTGAGGATCGTGTCAGTGCCACTATCGCCTTGATCAAGGCGTACATAGCGCGTAGGAATATGGCTATCTTGCTGTACATTGCACCTACGATCGCTACTGCGCTTGAGTTGTCAATGCTGCTTGAGGTCTCAGCGATTCATGAGAGCAGCGGAGTGTTCATCAACATGCTGGAATGGAAGATACTGGCCTTTACGGTGCTCAGTTTGAAGCAGTCCTGGGAGTAGGCGGTGCGCTGAGAGGATGGATGAGCGACGCAGCATATTTCCAGTTCTCTGGGAAGTCTGTGCTCATTCTGAGGGGCCTAGAGCGGCTGTAGAGGTGAGGAAATAAGGTGGCTTATGGTCTGTCACCTCGCGGACATATGACACTACGCATACATACGGTACCGTAATTGGAAGTCGGAATGAGTACAATAAGGACTATCACAAGAGGGGGACCGGGTCCGGTGGTTTCGGTTAGAGAGCTGACGCCGATATTTGTGGAGAGACTTGGGTTTGAGTGGTTCCGCTGAGTAGGGATAGAGAGATATACCGATGAGAAGGAGAATATGGAGTGGCAGTAGATGTATTGAGAGTTTAGTATTGGGGGGCTGGGGAGATGGGGGAGGGTGAAGTTTGAGGTCACGTCAGAGGGACTGAGTCCTCTTACTGCCGCTGTATAAATCTGTAGATTCTGAAAATCCACCCATGTTGTATGCATGCGAAAAAGTTGAAATAGCGAAGTGAACAAATGGTGTTTCAAGTGCAGGCACTTCACAGAGTCTTTAATCAGGCGTGTGCCAGACCAAGAATTGTTACTTGATCATTGGCCCAGTTGGTCAGATCATCCAAATACACCAAATACAACGCTGTTGGGCGTCCATATCTAGAGAAAGAATTATTGTTTGAAGATCTATGATACAAGAAGGGCATAAATTAGACAGGTTTATCCATGTATATATGAACGCAGAAGCTTGATGAATTGCATGCTTCATTTCTTTATTGACCCTAACCCTAGCATGAACTATTGGATGTTGTTGTTGATTTATTCCATATATGGAAATGAACTATTTGAGATTGATTAAGTCTTAACTGGCTTCTGTACTCCTTCTCTATCAATCATCCATTATTGTACGAGTTTGGGGGTGGGTCCGAATGCCCAGATGCACCTGCACCTTGGAATATCATTATATATGTAAGCAAGAGTGGTATGATATATCACTATAGAGTACCGTTCGAAGCAAGAGTGGTATGATATATCACTATAGAGTACCGTTCGAAGCAAGGCTGTATTGAATTTGAAGATCAATAGGAGTTATGGGACATAGACACTCAGGATCCCATGTATCCGCAATTTGTATTGGATTATGGATATTATCAAGTTCTCCAGTTAATAGGAACTTTGGGCCACGGTGTCGTTAACGAGAACTCTTAGGTGCATCCCTCTACCACTCCCCCAATGAAATATTTCAAGGATCATTTTCATTGCACTTTAAGGTGTTGGCAATGATGAACAAATGAACAAACCTAACCCTAACCCTAACCCTGGATTTCTGAATTTAGCATATTGAATGTCAATGATTGTGCAATTGCAACTCTAAGCTTTGGACGGGGCCGATTTAATACAGTGTAGATTGTGCTTGCAATACATACTGTCCTCATTTATCTACGCCTCACTACTCAGCTCAATGCTCTACGCTAAGGTCTGCTGGTGCAATTACGTTGCTATATATATCTCAAGTTAAATAAGCTATGGATTGCCTAAGGTTATACGCTATCTCTATTTTTACACCCTCAAGCATGGTACGCGGTGCTCCATCTCACGTACCCACTGAGGCCACCAATACAGAATAGCCTACAAGCTCTACCTCTTAAGAAAGATTGTGGGGGTTAGATGAGTTTCGACCGGCCTCTTCCTCACCACATATGTCGATATTATCGAAACCCTCCTCATCCTGTAGAAGGCATTGACGGCTTATGTTTACCACTGCGATTCCATTATCGATGCAGTGATAAAGGAAGAGAAGTGCTGGTGTGTCTGGTAGAGTAAATGTGGGTCCATCACCTCAAATGACAAATATATAGTTTATCTTGGTGATTCAGTCTGTTACATACTATTTGGTATCATCCGGCCTTAGACCTGCCTCACCGTCTAATCTCAGACCCTCTTGAGTTGCATCAAACCCCTCCAAAGTGCATATATCAGGTGGACTGGAGGAATCCAGCCTAAAGATCTCGAAATTCAGTAGCGTATTTGGTGCCCACCGAAAGGGGGCATGTCTGATTCTCTCAATACCGGGAAATATAATATCTGAAGGTATATTATATGATTTTGTAGGAAGTATCGCAATCCTATTATCAAAATTCGGTAGCTAGACAATATCTTTAATGCCCATACTTATTATAGTTGCCAGGATTATCAATTCGTCTATCATTTCGCTGGAGGAGCGATGCTTGACATTGAAACAAAGGCGCTTATATGACATACATGTACCTGTCATCGGGATGGAGGGAAATTCCACGTCCAATGTCCCACCACCTTCAAAAGTTTAATATTTGGCTCCTCCTCTAGTAGTGGAATGTCGGACAGGATTTTGAGGTTGCCCTGGAACCGTCGCCCCACAGTTCCGGGCTCCGTGGCTATGGGTCGAACAGGACGACCTGAGTCCATTCCCATCATGAGGTATGCACGTACAGGGGGTCATGGTCGTGATTGCGTGGGCGGAGGTGATGGTTGGGGCCCGTTGAGTAGGGTAACTCACTGTGAATCTTGGCGACCCGTCCTGGTTCACTCCCGGCACCGCCACTCACCGGGCTGGTACAACGATCGATGACTGCATGACGCCGAACATACCGTCTCGAGCCCACGATCATGACGGCACTCAGAACTCAATGATGCCGCGTTTCCCCATCCTCTGCTTCTTTCAAGGGGGTGAGTAGCGAGTATTCCGCAGGGTACGAAGGGTGTAATAGGGGGCGGTATGGGAACTCGCAATAGGGGTACTACGGGACTCTAGCGTTGGTAAGGTTTGACGGAACACGGAGAAAGCAAGGCGGTGGTCTTCTTTGAAGGAAGAAGAGGACGATAATATTGTTTAGCAATAAACAGCGTAGGTACAGAAGACGTTGCGTAAAGAAAGAAGAAGAAGAAAAAGAACGAGAAGTACAAACAACCCCCCTTAATATACTCAAGGAAATCCCAGCGATGACAAATCCAACATGACTCATACATTAACAATCAACAGAACCCGATAGAACCCAATAGAACATTTCTGACTAATGCAACTCTTCGTAACCCCGTTCCTCCACTAATCGATCCATGAAAGTAGCCCCTCCCTTCAAGCGCGAGCTCCTGCGAGCCTTAACCTTAATCTTGCCTTCCAACGGTCCAGGTTTGTCGGGGTAATGTGTATGGAAGATATTGACGGCGGCGGTATTGTCGTGGTATGCGGCGGGTTCCCAGGTAGGGTCGGTATAGCCTGTCTATTTAAAAAAATATTGCAGGCCACCATTCCGTGTTTCTCGCGAGTCCAAGATTTCCTCAACTGCATACTCCTCCTCCTGCTCGACGATAACAGGTGGGGGTGGTGGTTGAATTTGCCCCGGTACACGATCGTTTGCAGCGGAGTCTAGCAATGATACATGGAAGACGGGGTGCATCTTCATACTCCTAGGCAGGTCGACTCGATACGCATATGGCGATATAATTTCTTTAACGGGGAACAGCCCCAGCTTCTTCCAGTCCAGCTTCCGGGAGTTACGCGTGGTTCGGATATTTTTTGCTGAAACAAACACCACATCGCCGATATCGTACCGTGGAGTCGGCGTTCGTTTGGTCTTGACGGCCTGCTCTTGTTGATCTTGCGTCGTGCGGATGATGGAACGTAGGTACTCATGGAGTTCTTTCATCTTCGAGGCGAAGTCTTTAGCATTAAGACTCGGTGGGGTCCTGTCTAGCGATTTAATCGTCACTGTGAACCGGGGGTGGAATCCATAGTTCGCGAAGAATGGTGTAGCTTTAGTGGATGCGGAGACCTGGTTGTTGGCGGAGAATTCTGCCATAGGAAGCCATTTTACCCAATCGTCCTGTTGATAAGAAACATACCCACGTAGATATTGCTCCATCACAGCATTCAGCCTTTCGGTTTGGCCGTCGGTCTGCGGGTGGAAGGCGGTAGACATCCTTGCTTCGATATCGAGGTGTTTACAAAGAGCCTTCCAAAACTTGTCTGTAAATTGCGTACCGCGGCCGGAGGTGACGTGTGTGGGTAGGCCGTGGAGCTTCCATATGTTTCGCAGGTATAGTTGAGTGACGTCTTCGGAGTTGACAGTTGTATTACAGGGCAGGAGATGTCGCATCTTCGTTAACCGGTCAACAACTACCATAATTGCATCGTACCCTTCACTCTCCGGTAGGCCGGTAACGAAGTCCATTGATACCTCCTGCCATGGTTGTTCGGGAATCGGTAAAGGTCGAAGTACGCCGAGTTTTCCGTCGGTATTGGGCTTGCTTCGTTGACAGGTATGGCAGTTCCGAACATAGCGGGCAATGTAATTCCGCATAAGGGGCCAGTAGTAGTCTCGACTGACGAGTTCGAATGTTTTTTCGCGTCCCGGGTGTCCAGCAGAGGCAGCGTCATGGTAAAGTTGGAGGATCCGGAGCTTAAGAGGGTCGTAATCGGGGACATATATGCTGCCTCGTTAAAGCAATCGGCCTTCAACCTCGGTGCATTCGGTGAGTGATATGTCCTTTGATTGTTGTTCACCTTTGTTCCGCATATCCAGTATCTTTTGTGGAAACGGGTCAGCGCTATATCCTTCATCGAATAGTACATGCAGTGAGGCGTTCTTTTCAGCGGGCTCGTTTGAGAAAGAAGCCGCCAACAAACTTAGCTTTGCATCAAGATTCTCCTTCTTCAACACAACTTGACTCTGATGCGATTGTCTTTCATCCCCCTCTCCAGGGAGATCTCCTGATCTTCTTGTCAACGCGTCCGGTTTCCCTCCTTGTTTCCCTGGTCGGTATTTGATAACAAAATTAAACCGTGACAGATATTCTGCCCACCATGCTTGTCTCCGGTTGAGTTGTTTGGTACTCATAAAGTATTCAAGATTCTTATGATCGGATATGACGGCGATTGGGTCTGCAGCTCCTTCAAGTTCCGGTCGCCATTCCTCAAAAGACCGAATAATTGCCAGTAGTTCCTTGTCGTAAATCTCGTAGTTACATTCGGCGGGGGAGTGCTTTTTTGAGAAGTATGCGACAGGTCGAAGGGTACCATTGTCATCGTATTGGGAGAGTACACCGGCAGAGACATAGTCAGATGCGTCAGTTTCCATGGTGATTTCTTTCTCGGGGTCAAAATGAGTAGAATGGGAGCCGTGATGAAGGCTTCTTTCAGGGCGTTGAAGGCGGTTTGGGCTTCGGGTGTCCATCCAAATGATATGTCCTTACGCGTCAGTCTGGTGAGGGGAGAAGCCAGTTCCGAGAATCCACGTATAAATCGGCGGTAAAAGTTAGCAAACCCTAGAAATGCTTGCACATCCTTGACTGTTTTGGGGACGGTCCAATTCTTCACTGTCTCCACTTTTCTTGGGTCCATTTTGGTACCGTTGGGTTCGATAATAAGGCCAAGATAAGTGGTGCTTTGTGTATGAAATTCGCATTTCTCCGGTTTCAACAGTACTCCATTTCTTTGTAGGGCTTCCAGGACCTTTTCGACGTGTATTTGGTGTTTCTCGAAGGTGTCGCTATAAATAAGAATATCGTCGAGGTAGGCTGTACAGAACATATCGAGGTAGTCGCGGACGCAATCATTGAGAAAATGTTGAAAGGTGGCTGGTTCATTGGTAAGGCCGAAGGGCATCACCGTATATTCGAAATACCCATAACGCGTTCGGAAGGCTGTTTTCCATTCTTCACCCTCAGCCATTCGGATCTGATTGTATCCTTGGCGAAGGTCAAGTTTGATGTACCACTTGGCTTTGGAAAGGTGGTCGAGAGTTTCCCGAATGAGTGGCAGCGGGTAGCGGTTTTTGACAGTGAGTTCGTTGAGGCCACGATAATCGACACAGAGGTGGAGTGTTCCATCGGCTTTTTTAACAAATAGGACAGGGGCACCGGCAGGCGAAGAGCTGGCCTGAATGAACCCCTTTTGGAGATTGTCCTGTATGTATTGTTTCAGCACAATGAGTTCCTCGCGGGACATACCATAAAGTGGCCCAAAAGGGGGCTCTTTCCCTTCCTTGAGCGGTATCTTATGATCATAGGGGCGGCGAGGCGGCATCTCGTTAGCGAATTCTTCGTCCATCATTTTATAAAACCTCTTATACCGGGTTGGGACCCGGTTCCTCCAGTCTCGCTTAGGGGCCTGGCCCATTGCTTGATCTATTTCCTCAATAGTTGTACTAACATTTGGAGTTTGTCTCTTCGAGTAAAGCGACAAAGAGCAGCTGAACTGACGAGGTGGAAACGGGGCGGTGGTGCAACCCCTCTAATGGGAACGGGTATCGGGGAATAGTTGCACTTGCGTTTGCAGTATTCGGAGTCGAACAGTATGCTATTGTCCTTAAACCGTAATGTTGCGTCGTGCAATTGAAGCCAGAGGATTCCGAGGACGAGTGGGTACGAGCCGAGTTTGGTAACGAAGAAGGGGGTAGTTTCATGGTGGGAGTCAATTGATAGCGGCAGATAGCAGAGGTGGGTAATTTGTCTGGAAGATATGGGCCGACCGTCGATGACTTCAAGAGTGCGGGGTGATTTGAGGGGGAGAAATGGGAAGTTGTTATAGCGCGCGAATGTTTCATCAATGAATGCGAATCCGGAACAACCGGTATCGATCAGTGCGTGGGTTTGAATGGATGTTTCATTGTTTATAATTTTACAAGAAGCAACAAAATGATCCCCATCCAATTTATCCTCCACAGACGATACCGAGAAGCCAGAGATAGAAAACGCAGACAAAGGAGAAACATTGGAAGGTCCCGGGCAGGGGCCATTAATCAAGCTCGGGACTACTGAAAACCCGACTCAGAGGAGGCGGGACTAGCGACCGGTGGAACAGCGGGGTCGATGGCCGTATGGCTGGGTGCGAGGAGGGCGCCTCTCATAACCGGTTGGTTACCACGCGGACGATTGGTAGAGGGGCAGTTGGCAAAGACATGACCGGGGTTGGCGCAGTATATACAGAGATTGTTGTCCCTTCGCCATTGTTTTTCGGCGGCAGAGGTTTTATGTTGTCCATTGATAAAAGTGTATCGTTGTTCGATGGCAGGGCGTTGAGTGGGACGGCTTCGGAGAGCGGAGAGGTCCATTGGGGCGAGGCCTCCAGTGGTATGAGATGGGTGTGCGATAGCAGCGGGGGCGGTGAATTGTCCCATCGTATTCCGGATGACCCGTTGTTCAGCTTTGCGGCCCCGAACCTGGTTATCAATTGTCATCAACATGGTGGCATAGGCCTCAACGGTGTTAGGCCTGTCTGTTCGGTACGTCATGGAGTCCTTCAGGTCCTCCGACAGTCCTTCGGCCAGGGCATCGATCTTGGCTCCTTCGCTGTAATCCAAGTATGCCACGATACGGAGGAACTGCGAGTAATAGGTGACGAAGTCTCCTTTGCCTTGCTTCAGGGCAACGAGTTGGCGACGGGTGGTACCACGGGGGTCTGGGTCTCCAAACGAAGCTTCCAGTTGGGCAACGAAGGCAGTGACGGAGGAGAAGGGGGTGGCAGGGTTAACGTTAACGAGTGGAACGACCTGGTCAAGGGCCCTTCCTTCCAAGCGACTGACGGCATAAATAACCTTTGCTGCCTCGTTTCGGAACCGATCGTGGTTGACTTCAAGTTTCATTCGAAGTTGGGTGGTGAATCCGGGGAGCTTGGTGCGGGTGCCGTCGAATTTTTCCGGGTCTGGAAACTTTTCGGACCTGAAGGCGGGGACGGGAGCAGGTGGGGGAGCAGCGGCAACGGGGATAGCGACGGTAGGGGCGGAGGCAGCACGGGCGACATTGAGGTCGAGGTTGAGCCGGTTTACCTGCTCCTCGAGGTTGTCAATGGTTTCATTGGCGGCGGTGAGTTGTGTATGAAGGGTGTCCTTTTGGAGGCGGACGCGCTGGACGAGGGTGGCGATGTTGTTGAATAATTCAGTAGAGTCGGCCTCATACATCTGTCTGAATCCTTCTACATCGTTGGGTGCAGCCCATACAGGTGGGTCGGGGGTGGACATGTCGTACGGTGCGGATGACGACGCAACGTAATCTCAAGGGGGTGAGTAGCGAGTATTCCGCAGGGTACGAAGGGTGTAATAGGGGGGCGGTATGATTACTTAACGATAGGGGTACTACGGGACCCTAGCGTTGGTAAGGTTCGACAGGACACGGAGGAAGCGAGGCGGTGGTCTTCTTAGAGAAAGAAGAGGATGATAATATTGTATAGTAATAAACAGCGTAGATACAGAAGACGTTGCGTAAAGAAAGAAGAAGAAGAAAAGAACGAGAAGTACAAGCAACCCCCCTTAATATACTCAAGGAAATCCCAGCGATGACAAATCCAACATGACTCATATATTTAACAATCAACAGAACCCGATAGAACCCAATAAAATCTTTCTGACTAATCCAACTCTTCGTAACCCCGTACCTCCACTAGTCGATCCATGAAACTTTATGTATATTAAGGAGCTTTGCCCTCGATTCTATTCTCTTTCCCTCTCTTTTCTTCTCTTTCTTTTGGTATGCAAAGGTTTAGGTAATCTACGCTGGCTATTGCTATTCAAGTACTATTTTCTCTTCCTTTATAAGGAGGCCATCTCACTTCTCCGACCTTCCCACCGCTAGTCCTAAACTACTGTAAGTTTCTCCAACCCCTCTCGCTGATTAACCTACCAGTCCCTATGACCATCTCCCATACCCTGCGGAATACTCGCTACCCAACTCCCTAGGATTACGTTGCATCGTAATCCGCACCATACGCCATGTCCAACCCCAACCGACCTACATGGATCTCAACTAAGAAAATTGAGCAGTTTAACCATCAGTACGAATAGAATACTGCTGCCCTGTTTGACCACCTCCCTACTATGTTTTAAAGCATCCGACATGAGAGGGATAGTGCTCGTACACTGCTCTCCGCCGCCCACAAAACCATTGACTACCTGGAAGGTTCATCTAGAGAAATAAACACTCAAAGTACCAATCACCGCCAACTTATCCCCCTGAGGCAAGGCAAAGGAGACTTTGCCACCTACTACTCACAGTTCATCAGAAACATGTCCCACTTGCATTACAACAAAGGAGTCAAGATTGACGAATTGCCGGAACGATTGTCGGACAACTTTAGAGACATCATGACATATTGAACGGACAGACCCAATATGGTGGAAGCATGTGCGACAATGTCAGTGACGATCGACAACCAAATGTAACTGACGTGCTATGATGAGGCACAACCGTGACTTCCTTTCGAATAGTGTAAATAAAGAGAGCGAGTTTTGATAATACTCGTTCAGAAAGAAGAAAAGGGAGTTTGTATGTTTGAACGTTCTCCAGTCTAGAAAATTATAACTTTAAGGGGTCTTCTCTCTATTAAAGATCCGTTGATGATGAGAGGCCAACCTGGGGCAACACCGAGTCCCTTATAGGAATACAGCGCATTTGCTCAAGTTCTTTTCCCGACTGACAGTCTGTCTATTGATAGTCAGGGGTACAGCAACTATTTTCTATCAGAGGAGAGGAGAGTAACTACGACACCTTGGATGAACTTCTGTCCGAGTCAAATCATGCAATTTGCTGAAATTTGTGGTTGGAATCTCAAGAACTATTGGAAACAGCCGATCAGATAATAATTGTTTATTCTAACTTTATTAGAACCGATTTGGGTTTTTGTAAACCAAAGTTTTGCTTTAGTAGCTTGAGTCACACTCCCACTCCCCAAAGATGCTCCGGAGTAAAACAGGAGCATTCCGACAGTTTGACACTCTGGAGGTTAGTGTTGGGGATTAAAATGTGTTTTTGGAATTAGGTTTTCCATTAGCTCCGGGACACCGCCAGAATCATTTCTGTCGTGCGAAAGTATGGTCTTTGAGCATCGGTTGGAGATATATGAAACCTGAAAGATTCGACTGACTAGGTATGGAACTGCCGTCCAGGGTTCCCTGTACTATCAGCCATCTTTGTTCTTCTGTTCCAGGCTTGCTCAGCCCCTATTTTTGACTTGTAAGACTTCCTACTCATTGAGATCACTGTCCTCTATACAACTAAAGGTAGCAGCCTGACTGCCCTTATCGTCACACGTCGATGAAGAACAAGCTGCTGTTACTTTGGGTCGGTGGCTTAACTGATGGAATAGGTTCTTTTGTAACAGCCTCATAGTGGCACTGTTACATTACTTTCCTCTACGATAGACTCGTTTTGAGTCCACTGTAGTGTTACTGGAACATTAGTATTTGGCATAGAAGAAAAACTGTAGCTCTATTGGTGATTACATACAAACTACATCTCTGTTTCTATCTCCATCAGAGAAAGAAAACTCTAACATGAAATGCCTTTTAAAAACAAAGCAAAAGACATATTCTCCACTCTTGTCGTAGAACCTTCCGTTCCACTAGTGGAGATTTCGATGTTAACAAGAATCTCTCTTTTTCCCTTGTCTTTTTTACGCAGATTTCCTCACGCTTCAGTTTTCTATCGTTTCTTGCATTGTTTTCAGGGAAAAATGGTATCCGAACTCTGTCAGACCGATGAAAAACCTGGTACAGGAGAGTTGGTTTTTGTTCCCGTATTTCTTCTGGGATACAGAGCTACTTACGCCGTGTTTTCAGGATCCCTAGACTTTCACCGTATTTTCCGAGGTTTTTGTGGGTATTTTTGATGAAATTCTTTCATGGCCTCGTCGGCACTTCCTTGCAGAATTTTGTATGGTTCCCAGGAGTCTTCCGAACGATAACCCTCCCAAACAATACGATACTCTACAAACATTTTCTAATGCCCAGCCTGTTGCCATCGGCTATTAGCTATTTCTTGGAGAGCGTAACTGTATTCTCCTTCGACCTCATCTGGAGTAGGAGGGACTTCAGTGGGTTGAGGGTATTTCAGTCCCCGATAGGACTCCAGCAGAAATATTTGGAAGTCATCACGAATGTTCAATTGGGAGGGAAGCTTCAGCCTGTAGAACACAACAACAAGTTTCTCATCAACCTCAAAGAGACATAGTTTCTTGTAGTCAAGTTTGCTTGAGGGTCGATTGGCAACCATATTGCGTCGGTCCATCATCACCTTATCCCCATCTTCAGGTTCTGGAGCTTTCATATGCTTCTGGTCACACCATTTCTTCTGCCGGGCCTGTGCCTTAAAAATATCAGTCTTCATAGTTTTCCAAAGAGCTTTCCAATTGAACT